GCTCCGCAACGCGCAATCCCCGATTTTTCAACTTTATTGTTGGGTCGAGTTTAGCTTGTCCGACGCGGCTGTTTCTTACTTATTACACTGCCTCTTTCCTTGCATCTTATTATGCTATAAAATAAGGTAACATGCGCTGTAGGATAACGTTTTAGACTGATTTTATTTAACGGTACGTCTTAATTTTGGCATTTATACTTTGTGATTCAAGTTAGTCAGATATCAACTGATGATTTGTGAAAAGTTGTGAAACCAATAGAAAATGACTTAACTTCAGATTCATAGCAAATAGACATGAGTGTAAGAGCTAAACATAAAATTAACAATTCCAAATTAATTTACTATTGAAAATGAATATCACAAATCAATATTTCATTTATAGAAACTTACTTATGAAATTAATATCATATTGAAAAATCTCAAATAAAGGAAATAGAAAAAAGTCTCCATGCCCGTTACTTATTTAAATTTGTGTTCTTATTTAGTGCAAGATTTAAGTCAGGCGATATCTATTGTCGCCACTGTTACGTTCAAGTTAGATCCTTGCATTCAACACAGCAGAATTCACAGTGTCGTCGCCGTCTGAAGCGAGGCGGCATCACGGCGGGAGATGGTCGGACGCCAGCGCTAGTTTTAATTACTTCACCCCCAGTTGCAAGTTTCTTCAATGGCTATTCCGTCTCTCTAACTAAAAACACTCATTTATTAACTGTTTTCAAGAGCTCGTTTCCTCACTTTGCTGTTTTCTTAATAAAGAAATCGCTAGGTGCTTTGTGGACTTCCTTACAATCACATTAGCATATTAAAGGGTATGTTCTGTTGAGAAGAAAATTATTATGAATTTTTCGCTTTATCTTCATCATTTGCATACCGAGAAAGACAACAGCCCGCGATACTGTAAAAATCCAAACCCGAATAGAATATCTGAAACATGTACAATCAATAAATTTTATTTTGGAATTTAAACAAAAAATGGAATCAATACAATTTCTACACTAAATAACGTGAATTCGAACACACGAGTGAATTCTTATTTGGGTATGTCCTTTTACAGAATCGCAGGGCAGGTAAAGATTATACAAATTAGTGTACATTAAAGTAAAATTAATAAATGGATCCGAAAAGTATTATAGTAGATACACATACAGTTGTAGCACGCAAAAACGTCACGAGTAACCCGGCGAAGCAATCAGCCGGCAATCGTTACGCTCACGCAACCTGCTCCCGTTATCAAAAGCCAGCCAAAAGGGTTGCGGATACCCTCAAGGTAACTCCGTATATCTCCCCATATCTTCTCATAAGTCTTTGCCGATCCAATTTGGGAAACGGATGAGAATTATTTCTATTATTACCGGGGTGCACAGTTAAAAACCACAGGTAACGTAACTTCAATATCAAAAAAGTTTCACGTTACGGACATGAATATTTGGAAAGCTCTAACATAAGTAAGATACTTACACTAAATCATTGAAAATTACAATAAAGGAAGCGTATAAACCGTAACACTAATATAAAAACAAATCTTTATCAACGCAAAGTTGAGATCATTACTTAGTTGATTTTTATTTAGTTAAATTCTCGCATATGATATCTCTGTTACTAGTATAATTAATACAAGACATTCATAGATAAAAAAGACATTTATTCAGATAAAATAATTTTATTACAATAAACACACTCAGTGATTATGTATTATAGGAAAATAAATATTTTTCACACTGCACAACCTTATTTGCGGCTATGCAACAAGTATATATAACGACAGCTTATATGTTGATCCATATGCAAGCCATGGCACAATTAACAGCACGTCAGGTTATACAAAACTATCAAACTCCTCGTTAATTACATTGCAGGTAGTGTTCAAAATCTATTGAGCATATATGACATATTTTAGTAACCGAACGTGCAGCCATTTGTACTTTATAAAGTGAATATCGAATACATAACAGCTGAACAAATTTTAACATTAAGCTAACAGACTATAAGTCCCAACATTGGGTATAAGTATATAGGCTTGAAGCTTAGCTTGAACTTGAAGTTTGCACAGTATTTCCTCTCATTCAACATAATAAACCAAACATTGGTGAGATCGAGTGTAAGCAAAACATTGCAAGTTTATCTACTTGTGTTTTACCAATCACGCTTCCACCTGTCCATCTTAGGACGGTTAGAAAGTCCTGATTTAAGACTAAAAGTGCATTTCCCCTATGTTAACAAAAAAACAGATTATAGTCTGCTTAAAGTCACCATATGAATCCAAGTCTGCCCTAGAAAAATTAACTTCGACAATTAAATTCGACAAATTTTACATGCACGTGTCTGAAGCAGTCAGACACGTGCATGTAAAATTTGTCGACATATGCTATTGACATAGATAGGTCGAAAAAAAGAGTTCATAAAAAATAAACAAACAATACTATTCCTTCTCCACCTCATTTAGAAGTGTTTAAATCGTCTACCAAACCTAAGGCGATCATTTTTTTTTCTATATTTTGCAGGAATTCTCAAACCAACATCTACCTATAACATATATACATTTTATATACCAGTCATTTGTTTCTATATGTTTCGTGTAAATTCAGCTACAGACTTCCTGTTTACTTAAAGCTCTCAAAGTTTGTCACGATAACTTTTAAATCTTCCATTACCTGCTCGACATATATTTGGCGACTGATTTTTATCGATTGATTGCTGGTGAAGCTTTAAGCTTCAAGGCTATTCTACAAAGATTTCAAAATGTCTGAATTGAGCTGAAACTCATGGCGTATGTGTTACCCCGATAATTATCTGTCCCCTAGTAAAAGGGGACAAATAAATTATCGAATTTTTCAACCCAAACGTTTTATTCACACGACTTCCTAACCGACGGAAAGGAGGTGCGGTGTCAGCACAGATTATATTTGTCATTTTTCATCGACGCCAGTGACCCAGGACAAAGGCAGCGATCGATTGGGCTGATTGTGCTCGGCCTAATTGCCTGCGATTGTCTTAAAGGCTTTTATCCGACGATTCTTTGTGCGGACGGTACTATTCGGCCTCTCAAACGCTATGATTCCATAAGAACAGCGTGACACGTGAAAAAATATGAATATTATTACTAGCTCCTTTAGTTTTTATATCTGGCGACATTTATAGATGTTATTTTACAATAAAAGTAAGGGAATCACTTCTGATATTGATTTTCTATTTAAAACAAGACTTTTTAATGATGAATGTAAAGTTCATTGGCATTTTTACAAAATTTACTTTCGTAATAATCTACAATCGGCGGAAATATCGGTGAACATAGGTACCAACATAAAAAACATACATCGCCCTTGAATATATAACCTCCTTCTTACCGATTTTGAAGACGGTTAAATTGCATTCATTCACACAAGATTCAATTGGCACGTCCGAAGAAATAACTGCAAAGCTATCCACATAGATCTTATTTCATTCCTTTCTCGTTTTATAAAAGTTTGATAGCGTTTCTGTTTGCTTTGTGTTGTTATTCAGGTCACAAGTAATAACCTCGTTTCTACGAAACAATTTTATGTAAGTAAATCGAAATGAATACAGGCATTTTACCCAAGTATAATGCTTAAAATATTGTATAGTAATTTTTTTATTTCAGCTGATTTCGATATACTTTTTATTTATATAATCTACGTAATTTTGTTTGACATCGTCATGGTTCAAAAGGATTAATGCTTGTTATATCAGTTGTGCATCGACTTGCTTTTAGATTTTTTTTAATTCACAGAAGTAAAGCAAACTGCGTACTTCGCTTTATTTATACGGAAAAACACAAGCACAACACTATATTCTTGCGCAACAAGAACTTCAACTTCAGAAAATCAGAATCATTCAAACATCACGCCATTGGACGATCCATCAATACCCACGCTTCTGAACCCTGCTAAGTTCACAGTTCTCACTCTCACACTCTCATTAATGTGTTAGATGTATATTGTATTTTACACTTTATGGTAACTGATACAAGACTCACTATACATTTTAATGTTACATTCGGTCATCGTCGGAATTGGTAGATCTGAGGCTCTACTCTATTAGGCCAAGAAATGAAATTTCGGGTGACTTCGAATTATTCTCATATTTTGATAAAATATCGTTCGTTTTCGGAGAACCACCGTAGGCCTACTTGTGTGAGCGTAGTTTAACCCTTAACCGCTGACCATTATTTACTTTCATTAACACTGACGTACGTCGCTCTGACGTATGGTTTTTTGAAATAGCCTTTATTAGTAATATTTTAATATTTATTTGTTTGTTTTATTATTTATCGTTAATGGAGACAGATGGCACTACTGGCCAGATTAGCATCAGCTCCGTAATAAAAATTGTTTAAAAATATAATAAATTGATTTTATCAACATTAAAAGTTATTGCTGTGTCGATAATTGTTCAAATATTGCGTGTAATTGTTATTCACAATAGACCTTGTGATTTAGTGACTTAATCTTAGTGAAAAGTGTAATTGCAGGATGTGAATCAAAACTCGATAAGACGGATTAAATCAGTGAGTAATTAATAGAAAAACATTAATATCACTAAAACAAAGACCTTTTTATTCAGTGATAAATTGAAATAGAAGCTATAGTCATTTCACAATAAAATTCACAATATGCCAATCAGCTGATCGTTTATTTTATTTGAAAATATGAAGCAGTGCAATCAAATTTCTACGTTGTTGATAACACTTAAAGTCTAATTTTGTAATGATTGACTAGAGCGCCCTCTAACATAAGGATATCTAATGACCGCATTTCTAATAAAATCAAAGCAAATAGCATAGTATCGTAGCATGCTTTACTAAACAGCGACATCTGCCGAAGTAGAAAAAATCTAAGTTGAAAACCGATAGTATCTTATGATTTCACAACTTAGTCTAAGGCACAGCTGGCGTAGTGGCTACGGCATTGGAATCACAAAGTCAAAGTGCTGAAGTTCGATCCCACCCAGCCTCACGGATTACAGGTTGCATTTTTTTAAACATGGCAACGAAAGTTGGTGAGGTTTCCGGCATCATTACGAGAAAAAAGAGCAAGTCTACTGAATGTGACAAGTGTAATAAAAAAATAGACAACAGACAATATCTAATATGTTCACTTTGTAAACATACCTACCATCTACACTGTTGCAATGTATCATCTAAATTGTTCTATCTTATGACTATTGAGAGTCGACGAAACTGGAAATGTACCTGCATAAATAATTTGGAAAAGAAACAAAAAAATACTACAGCCATTAATTCAAAGACGGCTACAACTCCGATGATTCCCACGAATAACTCATTCGAAGTATTATCTGATCTCTCGGATGATGACGATAATGAAAATGACTATCTCTCGCTTTCGTCTAATAAGATCTGCAACAGAAGCTATCCAGAGAAGTCAATGATTTATAGCCAAGCGGACGATATGAAAAAAGAAATTTCAGAACTGAGGTCAAAACTCCAAATAGCAGAAAACGAAATTGAGAACTTAGTATCTGAAATTTATACATTAAAAGATAAGATAAAATGCCATGAAAATAAAGCTATACAACTTAAAAGTCTGAGTCAATTTACACCAAATTCGCATTCAACTAAACGAAATAAGTTAAACAGGACTCAATTATGCAAACAGAGACAAGAAATAAATCATAGTGTTATTGAGCTTAATAAGAACCAACTGTTTAGTAATTCTCCTAATAACTCAGAAAATGAAAACAAAAGGACATTGCAAAAGGAACAGATAAATTTTTCAAGTACGCCGAAAACTTCTCTACTAAATAAAGAAACATCTGCTGCAAACAAAAAAAGACCCAATTCTGCTAATCAAACTCATAAAACTATAAAGAAGAGAGTAAAAAAGTCTACGATTTATATATTTGGGGATGAAAATGTGAGAGGGCTGTCTACCAAATTGTATCAAACGAGATCTGGTAATTGGAACGATGTATACAAAACAACGGCATTAGTAAAACCAAATGCACCAAGTACCCAGATTGTAAATAACTTACTTAATGACGAATATTCTTTTAATAAGGACGATATCATCATTTTGTCTCTGGGTGGAAATGATCAAAATCCACATTTATTGTATTCCAACCTTTGTAACGTTTTATTTAGGTTAAAAGATATTCAAATAATTTTATTGTATGTACGGAATAGTAAATATTTAGATAAAAATGTAATAAATAATGATTTTAAAATGTTAGCTGCATGTTATAAAAACTGTAAATTAATAGACGAAAGCGATAAGTTACTCTCGCTAAATTTTTTATGTTTTAAGATAAATATTGCAATAGACTCTATTCGTTATCAGTTAGAATATATAAATAATATAGTTTATTCAAACCATGTTCACTGTCATACTTCTTGTGAATCTGCAAAGTTTTTTCGATGTTAATAAGACCTGTGCTTCCTTAAATAAGGTATCTCGGTGCTCTAAAAAAGTGGTATATAAAGATTGTGGCGATTTAATTATATTTAACCAAAATATAGGAGGTCTTTGTAATAAAGCTGATTTGATGGACATTACAATTAATGAATTCAGGGAAAATGGCAAGGAGGTAGATATAATATGCCTTAGTGAGACCTTTATTGGTCAAGGATCGGAGGAAAACATTAAGCTGAGTAATTATAAAATGGTAGCTAATTTTTCTCGTAAAAAAAAGCGGGGCGGGACGTGTATAATGATTAAAAATACATTAGAGGCAAAATCAGTATCTTTTATATCAGATTTGGCCACAGACTACTATTTCGAATGTTGTGGCGTTGAAATTTTGGGACTGGGTATTGTAGTAGTAAATATATACAGAATACCAGTCCAAACGAAATCACACATAGGAATATTTCTGTACAAACTGGATAAACTACTGTATTTGTTTACAACTAAATGTAAAAACAGAAAAATTGTATTGTGCGGTGACTGGAACATAAATATCTTGAAAAAAGATTCTGCCACTAATGATTTATTAGATACACTACATAACCATGGCTTAAAGGTTCACATAAATGAACCAACCAGGAAAAAATCATGCATTGACCAAATTGCTAGTAATATAAAATCGGCAATTCCTGAAGTTCATTATCTGTGGTTATCGGATCATGAAACAGCTCAAACACTTCAGATAAAGGTAAAAAATAAACAAAAACATTACTCTACTTGGTTTGAGCTGAAACGTGATTATAGTAACTACAACGTATCCAAATTTTGTGAATGTCTGTCGTCTCTTTCTTTTTCTGATGTATTGACTAACGACAATTTTGTTAGTGCGTTCCAATGTTTTTATGATATGGTACGTCTTTTTTACGACCTTTGTTTTCCAATAATCAAAGTTAAAATTAATAATCGCGTCAATAAACTAATTTGGCTATCAAAAGGTATTAAAAAGTCATGTAAAAATAAGCGTTCTTTATTTTTTAAATACAAAAACATAAAATACGGAAAATCAGAAATTAAAACGAAACTTAAAAAATATAACACCATTCTAAAGAAATGTATTTTATGTGCACAAAGAATTAATAATAACAGGTACATACGAAATAATAAAAACAAATGTAAAGCCACCTGGAATACAATATCATCGATGACTTCGAATAATATACATGAATATGACATTAATTCAATTTCTTATGATAATCAAATATACAATAATCCTTTTGACATTAGCAATATTTTTAATAATTTTTTTACAAACTTGACGAACAAAAATGACTCTACGAAGCATCACATGACATTTCAATCAATTATTCATGATACTAATCCTTCTACAATATTTCTGAATCCTATAGATATAAATGAAACTTATAAAATTATTTTATCTTTAAATAATAGCAGAGCCAGTGGTTACGACAATATGACTACATACATTCTTAAATTGTGTGCCTTTTTTATATGCCATCCGATTACTCACCTTATAAATCTATCATTTGCCGAGGGGAAGTTTCCAGAGCAGCTAAAAATCTCTATTGTAAAACCATTACATAAGAAAGGCAATAGGATGGATCCAAATAACTACAGACCTATTACCTTAGTGCCAATATTATCCAAAATCTTCGAAAAGGCTATGCATTCCAGATTGATAGATTTCCTAGACAAACACAATTACTTTCATCCAGATCAATATGGATTTCGTAAGGGTCACTCAACTTCTCAAGCATGTTTTGAGTTTATACGCTACATTACTGAAAGCCTTAATAAAAAAACTCCTGTTATGTCATTATGCCTAGATATGAGTAAAGCGTTTGATTTCATTTGCCACTCTAAACTTCTACACAAACTAAGCAATTGTGGTATCAGAGGCAATGCTCTTGAATGGATAGAAAGTTTTTTAAAAAACAGGTTACAAACTACTGAGGTAAGCAAAATTGTACAAAAATATAAAGTTAATATAAAACAAACATATAGATCTGATCTTAAAATTAAAAATGCCGGCGTTCCTCAAGGAAGTATTCTTGGACCACTGCTGTTTCTGGTGTACATAAATGATTTGCCACATAGCACAAGTAACAAGTGCATAATGTTTGCAGATGATACAACGATAATCATTAAATGTGACAATAACAATATCAACTCTTTTCAACGTCAAATAACCTCAGCATTATCAGATGTCACTAAATGGTTAGATGCAAATAATTTAAAATTAAATATTAATAAAACCCAATTAATCCAGTTCAGATCATATAACACAAGTCCTATACCTGTAAAAATTAATTACAAAAATATTGAAATTGACGAAGTAGACTCAGTACGTTTTCTTGGATTGTTAATTGATAAACATTTAAATTGGAAGCAACATATTGACCATATATGTGGAAAACTAAACCGTTTTATATTTGCAATAAAAAAACTGAAACAAACAGTATCTGTTGAAGCTGCTTTAATGGCATACCATGGATATGTGTCGTCTGTTTTGAGCTATGGTTTGTTATTGTGGGGAGCTTCTGTTGATCTTGACAGAGTTTTTAGAGTTCAAAAGAAGTGTATTCGTGTCATTTGCAATGCTTGGTTTGATGATAGCTGTAAACCACTTTTTAAGAAGCTTAATGTTTTGCCTCTACCCTGTATGTATATAAAAGATGTATGTTTATTTGTTCACTCCAACTCCAAATATTGGACTAAACGCGTTGAAGTTATGCCCCGGCAAACTAGACAAAAATATATAAATTTATTGTACCACCCTCCTTGTCATAAGGACATTTATAAAAATAATGTATACAACATGTGCATAATTATATACAATAGTTTACCAAATGACATGAAATTTTTGAATATTAATGAATTTAAATCAAAATTGACAAAGTGGCTTATGGAACACAGCTTCTATAGTGTGAAGGAATTTTTGGCTTTTAAGAAAATTGCATGATTAGAATATTTGCACGCCTGTTCTCAGGTAGAATACTGTATCTCTTTATTTATTTTTGTGACCTTTTAAGTGTATTCTAGCAAATAAAGATCTTATCTTATCTAAAATCAAAAATTTCCTTCCGATTAATTTGAAATTTAATCAATATGTAAAACGATTTGTCTTTTTTAAATGTGTGTAACAAACTGATTAAAAACGTGGGTAATTTCAAAAATATTTGCGATTGCTCAAAAGTCGGCGCGCGTGTGACACGGTAAAAACGTGCAAAATTGACCGGATTTGAGGTGTTGAGGGTAAGTTACTCCGATCTACGTCGTTTTTTATCCATGAAATCTATATGACACGATGCTTAATGAAATGAAAAAACGATGTAATAGTAGTTTTAATCATAATAATTTAGTTTTATAGGAGATATGTCCCTGTGACACTCAAAAATTGCTTTTTCAAGAAGTACCCTAATACTTCATAATTAAAAAACAAATAAATGGTATATTATTAGGAACTAAACACTTTTTAGCGACATGTGTCACAAGCCGGTTTTGAACACTGCAAATATACGGTTTCCTGTGATGTCGTAGGTCCATCAGAGTCTGAGTAAGGAACGGCTTCTTCGATAAGACCCGTTTCACCCTGTATTTCTGTTAAGGGGGATATTGTCATCGCTATCCGACGAGGAGTCTACTTCAGCCTCCTGTGGCAGGATGTCGTCCTCATCAGCTGAAGAATCATCATTCTCCGAAAAGGCCTAGGGTTTCCACGACGAAACTCTCAAACTGTTGATCAGTCAAATTTTTCAAGTACTTGTTTCTGTTTCGTTACTACAGAGCGTATTTTCATCAATGTTCAGGCAATCCACCCAAACGGCCGAAATAAATATTTTCACAAATATTTAAACTTTCGGTAAAGAAGAAAATTTGTTCTAATTATTATTATATTTGATAAATTTTGCATTCACAATGTTATATTATTAAAATTATATTATTAATTGAAAAAAAATTATATTATTATATTGAAAAATATTCTTATTAATTGATTTATTATTCGTCAGTCCTAATAGGTCCTGGGTAGCTCAGTGGTTAGAGCAGTTGACCAGATTGGGAAATTCATGGCAGACCCATCTCACAGTGCCAGGGGCAAAGTGGAATTTTTTAAGCAATTTTTCATTAATAATATTTTTCAGTATAGCATTGTGAATGCAACTTTGATCAAATATAATTATTATATCACATTAGTAATTATGATATTTGTTACAGCGTATCATGGACAGCGCAGAGGCGGCAGCGTTATCAGCTGGTGGTGGTGATGGTTCACCAGGATCGTACTATGACGCGCGCTGGCTCAACGTGCACGCCGATGATGGCACTCTTGCAGCGCGCGCACGGCGTCTGATGCTCGCACCTAGCCGCCATTTTGATCACATAGCTGTTAACAGTAGTTACAGTGCTGTGCTAATGCCTCCTTACATAGATATTGAAGGTATGTATTTATGATTCAAAAAGCAATAGGGATGCTGACTACTTCTTGTTTGTCTGTCCGTCAGGTAGAATATTAAATAGGTTTATGTTTATTTTTTGCGTAATTAATAAATTTCGTAGATACATTGAGTTGAAATTTCGCATGAAATCACACCTTTGTACTTTTACTACATGATTGTGACGTAGCAAGCCCCCTCAATCAACTTTAATGCCTATTAGCTCAGCTATTTCTTGTTAAATTTAAGCTAAATATACGTATCTAATATTTTTCTATTGCCCAACTAACGGACTATCTCTTTTAGAATTCCTATTAGTACACCCAGTGGTATTATACATAGATTACCACAATAATTAATCACAAAATCATCAATAAACTGAAGTTTGATATCGATCAGAAATAACAAATCTTGTAATAACCTTATGCTCCACTAGCCGAAGGAGGCAAATGAACGGAATTTTCCTTGAGTGACGAAAATGAGTGACAGTTGTCATTAGAATTCCGACGATTTACTAAACTTTTAAGCGTGTACTGCATTATGAGCTCGAAAGTTCATTGGCATATTTTAGTTTCGATATAATCGAAAATAGTCAATTTCCAATCGGCACATCCACCACCAGCCCTTTTACGTCCCCACTGCAGGGGCTCAGGCCTTCCTTATGAATGGTTAAGGAGGATGGGCCATGACCCTCCACGCTGGCCCAATGCGGATTGGAGGGTATTGACGACTGTAAATGCAGCCGGGACCAACGGCTTAACGTGCCTTCCGAAGCACGGAGTAGCTCGAGATGATAATTTTTTGGTCACCCATCCTGAGACCGACCCTTGCGAAAGTTGCTTAACGACTACGATCGCGGGCCGCGGCGCTTATCCACTACGCCACCGAGCTACTCCAAAGAAATAATCGGCACATCCAAAGAAATAATTACAAAGCTCCCTCATAGATCTTATTATATTCCGTCCTCGTTATTTTCATTCAGTGCTGCAGCACTGTGTTCGCCGCTGCGTTAGACACTATATTTTTAACAAAATAGTAAAGCTGGTGTTAGATTGTTCATAAATATGGTTTCATGCAAACAATTCTAATATTCATATATATTCCTCTTTCTTCGGCGCGATCCATGAGGATTGAAGTGCGTTTACTTTACATTCATCGAGACGTAATCTTTTCAAAATGACTATTTCGCAAATATAAATAATAATACTTACATCCTGTACGATAATAAAAGTACAGAAAATATTATTTTGTACGTAATTTCAATGCTGAAACATAATAATAAAACAATGACTTAGCAGATTTACTGACACCCCCTCGTGTCTAAGCAAATAATTGTATTTGCTCATACGTCAGCATGTAATCCCACAAGCAAGACACTGGCGGGGTTCTCAACCTGTAAATAATGAGTGGGAATATTGTTGACACAAAGGTAGACTGACACCTTGCCAGCACGAGCCTGGACGGAATAATTTATGATGAATCCTGCTTATTCCACATAAAATAAATAACCTTTTTAGAGTTCCATACCTTAAATACCAGTACCCTTATTACAACGTTCGAAAGTCTGTCTGTTTGTTCGTATACTAGGCTTACCAAATATGGTAAATGTACGTTAAATGTTCAACTAAATTAAGATGAAGGTAAGCTTTTTTTCTAGTTTAATCGCCATAACAGCCCCTTCTCCAATATTACGCTAAATTAAAATAATGTTTACATAAATAATAGAAAAAAATGTGCTATAATAGATATCGTACCCTACCTTAATTACATTAATAATCAACATTAGTTATCAAATTTATGTTATTCTTAAACTTGCTAGCAGTTGCTTCGACCGCTACGTAATGGCCCTATTACAATTCGACTGTAATTTTTGCTTGAAATGGTAAATTTTTGCCTTCTTTCTCAGAATCTAAATTATATTAATTAGTTTGACTTATTGAATAGAGTAGAATAACGATTAGCATAGTTCACAGTGGCTTCGCTTTTTGTTTATTGAAATTAATTTTTAATGAAACCTAAAATTGCGAAAATATGTCATAATTGCGCGATGGCATTTTTTAAGCTGCTGGGTTAAGTTACTGGTGTAAAACAAGTAAAATAAAAAAAATATAGTAATCTTTACACACGTAGTGGCCTCGAAGTATTATTGATGAAATTTAGAAAAATAATCTTATTATTAAAAAAAGCTTGTTAACCAAATAACTTGACTGTGGATATCTCCTAAGATAATAATATTGAACAAAATTTGTACGAGAATTTGTACTTCATAATGAATAAAAATTTCATAAAGCATAAATATAATATCCTCTTAAATAGAAATGAAAAATATAACCTGCTAACATACGATGCACCGGCCGCCCGAGTTCAGTTTGTTTGCCCGTGCAGCTAGTTTGTTTCTATCTTAAAAACATTATGGCCAGTCAGTTAGGTTGTATAGTCGGTTCCTAGGACATGTGAAAAAAACAGACAATAATCCAAGTATTAATTAAAAGTAAATTGATACCCGCTGCCGGCGGTAATGGAAACACATAGGCCTGTGTCTCCAAAGGACAGGGTTGCAAGAGGGTACAATTGAATTGCAGTCCGGTAAGAAAATACATAAAAAAAATATATGTTTTACCCGACTGAATGAGTGGCAGAGTAATGTTTTACGAGTGTATAAAAACTAGTGTGGATATCGAGAAACTATAAGTTGACGTACTTCTAAAATATATTTAAAGATGTAGACATAATTTTGTCCAAATTTATTTGAAAAATAATTTTCAGTTTCGATTAGCCCCACTTCAGACACAAACAATATTATTGATATCTTTTGTAACGAATACAACTGATGAACGTAACTAAATAATAGAATTAATTTACTTTTGAAACACACTTTCTCTATTACTTTTATTAAAAGACAGACAGCGATATATACAAAACACATACCAAACATTATAAATAGCTTTTTTTAATCCTTCCACAAATATAACTAGATACCAGTTTTATTAGTGAGTAGCTTTGACTATATTTTAATTTAAACATTTTGACTAATGTTTTTTGGATTTAATCGCAAAATAAACTGCACAGATTACACAGCGGCCGCAGTTAGTTATTTAATGTGTTATAATTATGCATTAAGGTGAACGTCCATATGTCAACACGCACGCACTGGTCGCACGAAACGCAACGAATCATATTATAAAGATCTATAACGTCATCCAATCCGCATTGGGCCCGCGTGAAGGGTCATGGCCAATCCTCCTTAACCATCAGTAAGGAAGGCCTGAGCCCCTGCAATGAGGAGGTAAAAGAACTGATGATGTTGACGTCATTAACATAATTCCGACGTCAAAACTGATAGTCGCATTTTTCATAGAAGCATTTATCAAAAATGCGACTACCGAAGAAGTGCAGAAGTTTGACATAGTCAATTCATGCAGTGCGTTGCGTGTCGTGCAACCGGTGCGTTTGCAGTGGATGAGTACCTTTAAGGTGAAGAGAAAACGAGCAGAAACAATATAATATGCCTTAACAATAATCCAGGACAAAGCAGAGCTTTATTAGGAAACACCTAATGTCAACTATCCAACAAACTATCTTAATGAAATAAATCAATCCCGATGCAGAATGAAAAGTGACATAGTCAAATGTAACAGAGGCACATTACGAACTAAAATTGTAATGGTAGCACAATAAATTGTCACATATCGACTCACCACGAGTAATAACCGTTGCCCAATGAACCGAGTTTGCCAATTACAGTTGTTTCGAGTTTCGTTAACGATAGTTTTATTTCGTTTTTCATAATCACAATCGTTTATTATATTTCTCTTATTGCCAGTAGTTGGGATGAACGCTTAATAAATTAATTTCGATGTTTTGTTGGTATGAATTCACGGAGACAAAAAAAGCAGTTAATTTTCAATGAAGAATAAATTATTTTGTTAGAGCTTTTGATCAACGTAATGGGTAAATTACCCAACCTGTGTGTTCCTGTTAACGATATTTGAAGACTTTATGCTTTCAAAGTGGAAATGAAGTGTGGAAGAAATTGTGTATGGAAAAAACTCCTTAAAGATCTAAAATTCAATAATATTTAAATATTTTCTTTTTTTAATAGCTTTTATTTACATTGCAATAATTATTTTTGAATGTAAACCTTGGAACGGAATTTTAAAGCGGTTGTCTTTAACTTTAAGCTGAAATTTTCCAAGGTTTGAATGACAATGTATGAGGTTACACTGGGTTACACAGATTATTAACATTTTAAATCTATTCTATCCATGAATAAAGCAGACGGCCCCAAGATGGCGGACTAGTGTTTCTTTGTCTACTGTCATTTTATAAATGAGAAAATTACAATAATAAAAAACTTTTTCCAAATCATATCCCATTAAAAAAAATAGTTAACTTTAAAACAATCCTATAATTAGTATCAAATAAAAGAGTCCGCTGCGAAAATCATGAAATAAAACAAAACTTGATGCTATTATTATTCCAACACATATATTAAAACCTAATTATAGTCAATAATTTAAATTAACCTTCATATATTTTCACGAAGGCCTCATTTTGATTATGTTTTAATAACATACACAAATTTTTGTGTGTCAGATGGGGAAGTCCAGAATCAAATAGCATGGTCGGAGCACCTGGACCCGCTCTTCGTGAACAACTATGAAATAGATCCTACTCTCTCCTGGCAATACTACGCGTCCTCTACGGGCTTCATGAGGCGTTATCCAGGTAAGACAATAGGCACTGTATTTCATATAGTAGTAGAATGCTTATTATTCAAAATAGGTTAACTATTCTACTGAGATGAAATATACATACATCACTAAATGTATGCTCAAACGAAATGTCGATGGCTCTCTTTTTGAATAGTTGAAAGTCCATATTTAGAGATAGGAATGTAATTACTAGCTCGAGTAGCTCGGTGGCGTAGTTGATAAGCGCCGCGGCCCGCGATATTTGTCGTTAAGCAACTTTCGCTAGGGTCGGTCACGGGACGGATGACCAAAAAATTATTATCTCGAGTTACTCCATGCTTCGGAAGGCACGTTAAGCCGTTGGTCCCGGCTGCACTTGCAATCGTTAATAGCCTCCAATCCGCATTGGGCCAGCGTGGAGGGTCTTGGCCCATCCTCCTTAACCATCCATAAGGAGCCCCTGCAGTGGGGCCGTAAAAGGGCTGATGATGATGTAATTACTAAATACAAATAATACCTATCTTTTGACATACATCGTTTTAAGATAGTTTTCATAATTTTATTGAGTGCCCACATCAAATGTTTATTATTGAATACCTTCATTCCCTAGCTGGTTCCTCTAAAAATTAAGGCGGCGCTGTGCAAATGGAAGTGATTCTTTTGCGCAAACTAGACTAGTAAATCAATGGTTTAGTCCTGACCCGTTCAAGTTTTTCTGGATTTATTTAAAACAGGAAGAGACTATTCGCGTGAAAAAAGTAATCTTTGAATCAGAATGGATTTATTAGTAAAAACTAGCAGAATTAAACAAATTATTAAAAAAAAAATAACAATTTTCCGGTAGCAATGTCCTGGCCCCCCGAAGACGGTTACTCGCATCACGCGCGCGACTTCTACGACTTCAGATCGTCCAACTGGTTCGTAGAAGCGGCGACTTCTCCAAAAGACCTGGTGATCTTACTAGACGACTCCGACGACTTGAGTTCGTCTTACTGGAGGCTGGCGAAAGCGACAGTATCGGGACTACTGGATACCCTTGGACCTAACGATTTTGTCAACGTATACAGATATAGTGACACTGTATCGGAAATACACTCGTGCTATACGAAGATATTGGCTCAGGTGAGTTATGGATTTGTCATTCAAACATTCTGTGTACCTGCTTTTAAGTTGTAAATTGTATATCTATTAATACTGGTGATCATCGTATTATAAAACGCCATCAGGTCATAAACTTAGAACATTATTATGGTTTTGTTGTAAATGACTATACTTCTTTACGGTATCAAAGGTGGTGTACCTTTGATACCCTCCAATCTGCATTGGGCCAGCGTGGAGAGTCATGACCTATCTTCCTTAACCATCCATAAGGAATGCCTAAGCCTCTGTAGTGTGGGTCCTAAAAGAGTTCATTATTTGACACATTCATGCAAAGCCGCACACTAAGTAAACATTTTTTTTTAATTACAATGTATTAATAAAACTTAATGGTAACTATTAACACATCGATATATTACTGATTACTTAGTACATAGCAGTTACTGCATTCAAATAAATAGTTTTATTACATAATTCTAACGAGGTCCCAAATATCGTTTCTATTGTGAAACATAATATTGCTTTTACAACAGTTATAAAATACAAAACTCTCCTAAGCAAATCTATTACGAAATACGCGTATATGGGAGGGATACAGGAAATCACCGGAATAACCCTTTTGTTGTTAAAACAACCCATTACGTCACAAATCATCGGCCTCGTAAAATAAAACTTTGTACGAGTCCCGATCTCTGTACAGATTATGTGGAGAGTGAGGGGACACCATACATTTGTTCAAAATTAATTAATTTCTGTTACACGGTTGAGCCCAGATTACGTATTGCCTAGGACTTCTACTCCAGTTGTCAGTTTTCCCGGATTTCTCGTAGTTTTAAGAGCGTCCAGGGATTTAGTGAGCTACCGAACGATTTTTAGAATACCTACTATTAGGGCATAGATTATGCAATACGTGCCACGTTGTTTTCGATACAGCGGTTCACAATCGACAAATGTCCCGAATTTGAATCCGTAATTCTGGCCATTTAGAGCTGATTTTCCTAACTTACAAATTTTATAAGGGTGAATATTACGTTCCAATTGGGTGTCTGGTGATAAATACATAAATCATTAAAAGTTAAAGTAAAAAATCTTGGAACTGGATCGGTTTTTGTATAGTTTAATGTGGGTTCTAAAATCGGCAATTCGCAAAAACTGCTTTTCTCAATTAGGAACGTATCAAATTTCATAATAAAAGCCGCAAATCTCATTACCAGTCGTGTCACTATCCTCAGATTTGAAGACATTGAAGATTATTTCTAAGGTTTTATAGCATTAAGTCTACCTTTGGTGCCATGCTTATATTGGTTAATAAAGTTCAATAAATAAATAAATGAATAAGCAAATTAATACACAATTTAACTTATTTAAGAAAAATAATAAGTTAAAAGGGCTATTTTATATTGATATCATACTAACAATTTACCTTAAATAACAACTGAATTACATTTAATTACTTAATAAAATGGCTTAAAGAGTTCCGGATGCTATGAATAATAACTGTATTGATAAAAAGACAAACAGAAAAATGAAAGCCTTACTTTCTCATATATTATTTATTTCTAATTGCCATTTATATAGCTCATTACCATTCAGGAATTACCATTACCGTGTAATCTTATTACAATTTATTGAAATATTTAAAAGCCCAATACTTCTTAAAGTAAACACACGATTGCTGTTCCTTTAACATGTTTATAGAAAATTCACCAGATTTTAAATAAACTATGATATTATGTTTTCTTAGCGTTCACCGAAACGGCTGATTTGCACGAAATGAAATATCCACCCAACTCCATTAAACAGAAACTCAATTTATACCTAAGAATTTATACATCGGGCTTGACCATAAGATTATGACCCGCTGTCTGCTGCGAGTCTCAGCAATTTATTTAATAATTGGAAGATGATCTTACTTTTCTTGTGAAAAAAAATATTATAGCTTAATCCTTAAGGGTCCAGAGTATCGCTATTAAAGACAAAATGTTCTCTGAAGAAACAAATGGTTACCGTCTCGTCCCTATGTAATAAAGCAATGTTTTTCAGAACTTCAAGTTTGACTGGTGCGAGTTAAGCAATAAAACCTCACCCATAACCATGTCTCACTCGACGTTGCGGCTTTAACAAGTCCATAGAATAAGTAACTACATAAACAAGTGCCATAACAGGGCTACATGACGCCAACAACTCAGCCCGTCTTATTACACACGTTATTGTATACGTCAGGCGCGTGTTTACAAAACAAGCAATCAAGAACAATTAGATGACATTAGTTTAATTAAAACAATGGCCCCGGAACGGGTGGGGAAGGATTCACGTCAGACCCAATTTAAACCTCTGACGTTTACTTCGTGGTGTTATTATTCGGGTTCCTTTTACAACCTCCATAGCAGAGGGTTCGTACGCCGGTTTCAAGGTGGCGCCATCTCTGAATTTCCGGGTTCAAATCCCAATGGTACGCTTGTTTTGGTACTTTCATTATCTCGGTTACACCTTATCTTTAGCTATACTCATACGAGGGCCTTAATTATACTCTGGATATTTATTTATTTCTTTATCTTCTATTCGAACGTTTATCATTAATATATATATATATATATATGTTACAGTAAAACCCCGTTACATTTTTTATTCTTTGATTTCAATTACCTTCCCATTCAAAACTTTGCATAATTTTAACCTTAAGAGAACAACGGAAGATTTACCTTATGCATTAAACATTAGTAAATTTCGGCTTTCACAGTAAATAATATTTATAAAACGAAAAAATTCCTAGCTGATCTATCAAGTTTGGGAGAGCTGAAAATTGAAATACAAATCGTTATATAATACTCGTATCTGTAGTAATGTAGAGATTCGCTGAGTAAGAATTTAGAACAATTCAACCTATAAGAATTTTCAAACTAGTTTATAATTGTTTAAAAAGCTCATTCATAATTCTTTATCAATAAATAAATATAGGACAGCATGTTAAGTAGCTAATGCTCTTGTGTTATCGCAATCTGAAACAACATCCAGACCGAGGCAATATAAAAAAAAAACAGTATGCTAAAGTCCGAACAGGAGTCGAACCTAGACTGACGACTTTCAAACCGGCATGCGAGCCACTCCGCAACGAAGATTGTAATTCTGTTGTATGAGCAACAATGTAATCCTTCATTTTTATATTGTTTTAACAAATCAGTATATAAAAAACATTAAAACTTTATTAACCTTATTTCTATTAGTTATAATTTTAAAATTGTCCCAGTAAGCTCTGTGGTAAGTATTTATTTTAATAAAACATAATATAATGAAACAGCTTATTTATTGAAATATAATTTAAATTCGTTAAATTTTTGATTAATAAAATGGTTACTGCTGTACCCGGTCAAAGGAACACCATCCGACGAATTGATAAAACGTAAAGCCGCTATAACCCGTAACCAGCAGTCTGGCGCGGCGTTTAATCCATAAATGAAGGAGTTACCGTCCATTGATGTACAAAAAATAGAACGCCATTATTGTGCTACTGGGACAGTCATGCTATAACGTAACGATCAAATCTATACTTGTAGATTAGTAGCAAATGCAGGCATTGCGTGTGACGCCGCGACATTATGCGATACGCATCTGTCGGCGGTGTGTAGCCGCACTAATGGATTCTATCGAATCAGCCCTTAATGTGAGCTACTATTATGCCTTGAATGTTTGGCCAATAAAAGCATATGCATGGACGTTCTTTAAAACTTACCCTCAGTAAGAAATACAGTCCGCTGAAGCTTAGATATTTTATTCAAATTACATTCTTCAAATATATTTTTTATTAGTTAATAATACTAATATTATAAAGATGCAAAGTTCTTAACTTTGTTAGTTTGAAGGGAGAAATTACTTACGGGAAGCTACATCATAAAAGTGACATACAAAAGCTATAATTAACGTGGGAAAACAGCTTAGGTTATTAATTTAATACGACCGAACATATTAATGAACTTATAGCAACAGAATCGACGTCCATTAATCTTTAAAAAAAAGTATTAGTACAAAAATATAATTGAAAGATAATTCATTACAAAAACATCATTTTGATTTGGCAGGTTCCTAAAGCTTCGGAATATATTCCCGTTTCAAATACTGTAATATATTGGGATAAAAAATATGTTGCCAATCGTGATGAAATACCACTGTAAACCATATTTAAATCAGTTCAAAGTCAATCAACTGGTAATAACAATGCTCAGATTAATCATGTCAAAAAAACTAATCTATAATGCACATATCCCGAAATCAATCTAAGTAACAAGCAGAGCCTACTTATTACAAACTATAAAGACTTTATTACAAACTAAAAAGTAGTGTAGGCGTGTGTAGCTCGGTAGCGTAGTGGATAAGCGCGATCATTGTTGTTAAGCAACTTTCGCAGGGGTCGTTCACGAATGGGTGACCGAAAAAATATTGTATTTATTTTAAATCATCTAATTTTTATGTTAGTATAGTAATAAAACTTCCACTACTGTGCAATGAGTAGTACAATACTTCAAATCCCAATTTCCATCCAGTAAAAATATTTTTTGTCCTCTCTAGGTTCATAATGCAAGTCTTGACGTCTGTAAGCATATTTCAATTAACCCATAAGAATACTGTTGATTTAATTGATATAACGCAATATATTTCATTTCATTCAATTCATAAATCTAAAATAGAATAATGTAATACTCGAAAGTCTTAGTTGACTTTATCGCCAAAGAAAACAACCCGATAGGGAATTACAGAGGTTCCACGCCACTTTTATGCTAACATTCGTCTACAAATCTCGTTTTAAGTTGACATAAAAATATATTTTGACGTACCTATGTGTCTATAAATTTAAAATTACGAAAGAGGAATAATTAATAATGACGTTTTAAAATCATCCTATTAATATTAAAAATGTGAAAGTTTCTTTGTTTGGATGTTTGTCGGTCAATCACGCACGCCGAAACTACTGAACGGATTTTGATGAAATTTGGTATACAAATATGGTATTAGGTGACTTAGATAATAGGATACTTTTAATCCCACTAAGCATTTCCCTAGGGTCCACGCGGGCGAAGCCGCTGGCAAAAGCTAGTAGAGAATAAAGCTTAAATGTATAGATAACTAAGTTCTCTTTGCTTGCATTTTGCACCTGGATTAGGTGAATAATGCAAGCGACAAGACCGGTTTTGATGGTACGCACCACAGAACATGAAAAAGTGTAGGTATCATTAATAAACTTGTCTTGAAGTCGAACGGGGGTTTTGTAAATAACTATCGTACTAGATTTAGGCACAAATGTCTTTACGACGATAGGTATTATACTGCACCCTATACTCCTATGGTAATCACAATTCGACACCCATAAAAATACCACACAGTAGAAGGAAGTCTCCATGACCCCCGTATTACACTAATATACGAACCGGCAATCACCTTCGCCCCACGTCCGCATCGTTTACCAGTAACCCCTTATATTAAGAGTTGTTACGCTCGCTTCATAACACATCCACATGTTTATTCTCGCTAACGACGCTGGTTAACGGCCTGTTTAAATTATACAATGACTTATTTTCCCATATGAAGTTTTATTAGCTATTAACTGTTTTGCCGCTAATTTGTCTGCTTAAATTATAGCCTATGATATTAACTCCCGTATGTGAAAGAATTTTTTAAATGGTTTAATAGCTTCGGAGCCTATTCAATATACAAAGTGTAACATAAAACACATCCTGAAAGAAGTTTGTTTAAAATCAAATACTGATTCAATTTCAACAACTTCTTATAGGTAACTTTTTTGATAAATTTAATTGGCATCAAGTAAATTATGGTCACCTGTATCCATTACAGTCGTCGCAAACAAAAAATAAACTTAAGTGAATGTAATAAGACTTTTTAAAATGCACTATATTCTTGGATTGTAACAAAATACAAAATAGAAAAAAACAAAGAAAAAAGAGCTTCCTTTTAATCTATCTTGAGTCTAAAATTTTATTTATTTATTCATTTGACATTGGCAGAATTGTGCAAAATGCGCTTATAAACCGTTAATAAAAAAAAATAAGTTTTTGAGGGACCGTTGCCATCTTTCATTCATTTCATTTTCGGTTTTACTTAATATTGGCAGAATTTTGCAAAATGAGCAAATAAGCCATTAATAAATTCACATGCGATGATTCTTCGTTATACTAACGTACAGTAAATCTTAAGGTAAATCATCGAAATGCTTAAGGATTAGACACAAAGTGGTAATACTCTGCTCGCCGTGTGATATGTGATCGCAGGACTATGCTAGCCGATACTCATAACAAGTAAGAATCATAATTATTGTCTAAACTTTAAAAAACCCTTTGAATCACGAAATAGAAAAATATTTAATATCAAGAATTAGCCTAAGTTATTCCTTATTACATAAGCTATCTGCCATTCAAACACCAAAAACAAACAGACAAAAATGGATGAAATGTTATTTTGATATATGTACCGTGTGAACGTATATGTTTTTAGTAAAAAGCGGTTATTTTAATATTACAAAGAGACACTCAACTTTAATTTATTTGTATAGAAAATTAAAAATGTTTTTCCATTAATAATGATATTTGAATTAGAATATTTTATAAAACCATCTCAGGTCCTATGAAACTGCATACATCATATCAGAGCGAAATAACATACATACAAAAGATTACTTTCACGTGCTGAATTCAGCTCCATCTCGCCACTAGAGACAATGGCGAAGTTTCAAGGTTACCTACCGCCGCGCTGTACGTCAGCCTTGGGTTAGTTGTCTTTACTTTTATGCATCTCGCTTTGTATAAGTTGGTGAGCTAGGTCAGGAAAAGTGAAGGCTAGCACCCCACTGTATCTCGTTACGTGTTTATAAACGATTCAGTTTTAAAATTAAACATTTTTCTTATTATGTATATTCTTGTCTAGGTTGCCTTGACACTGATAGACATAAAAAACATATCATCTTCAAATATATTACCTTCTCCTTATTGACTTTAAAGTCGTTGTTCAAAATTATTAAAATGATCATAAATATGTTAATAATCATTGAATTGATCGAATGAAGTATAAAAGAAAAGAAAAAAATCACACTTGTCTATACTATAATAAAAATTTCGAAATATATTTTATGAATATTAAATCATAGAAAAAAAAACTGACAACATTTTTCTTGTATATGACAATGCCTTTCGTTATAAAGAATTAAAAGCTAAAGAATATTAATGTTTCATTTCTATAAAGTATAACTGTTTTAGACAAATTGCAAAACGAAATCAAATCAATAATAGAACGCGTAGTTTTAACGCACTGAGGATGTCATTTTAAAAGTGCCTTTTAAAATCACGACAGAGGAATACCTCTCTTTAAGTCAATGTTCTGTTTATTTTCAAATATATTTGTTGACATGAAGTAGGTGTTTATTCACTCATATTTTTAACAGGCTGTACCGGAAACCATTAGAGAGTTGAAGACCACGCTATGGTCTGCAGAAGCTTCTGGTGGCGCTGCCAACCTCACCGGCGCCCTCACCACAGCTTTCGAAATACTGCATAGAGTAAGTATCAACCGGCACCAGCTCAATAAATCTTGGAGCACTAAGCATTGGTACAACGCCCATAAAAAAAAAACACAGCCAAAAAAAACTAATATAGGTACGCCGATTAAATAGTGCAATTTTGTCAATGACATAAGAAACTCCATAGGTACTGCCGGGTCTGAAAATTTTGTACATTTGAATACCGCCCACGTGTGTCCCATGTTCAAAGAAAAAAGGTGAATAGTTGATACCAACGCCGGGGCGTCCATATAGGCAAAGGAGGCAACCGCCTAGGGCTTTCATATTTGGGGGCAGCATAGCATGGGAAAGGCATTATATTTACTCCAATTATTTAATTTTGAACCCTTAAATGTAATTTTATAAGGCTGTATCTCACGAAATACCAAATACTAAGTACTTATTTCTAGATAAACCTATCAACAGGTATCTGCTATGTTTTTATTTACAAGATTAATGACAAAGGTCGCCCAATTCAATATAATACACATTGATGTATTAATAACTTGGTAGATAAATCTATAATCCAAAAAGAAAGCTAGTGTCACAATGTATAATTAAATTATGCTATATCAGAGAATTACACAACTAAAACTACAGCTACAGATTAAAATATGTTTAATAATAATAATATTTATTTACTTACACACAGCCAAAATACAAGAAAGTAAATAAAAAATAAATACTTAAAATTAAGCGTTATAAAACAATGGCTATCGAATTTTATAAAAAAATAGCATCTGTAGCCGAGCTATTTTATTACTGTTCTTCGGCTTACAGCGCCCTCCCAGCAACATTGCTGAGACGGCGCTGTAAGCCAAATTAATTGAAAATTTGCTGAAACAATTAAATTATATATTTAAAAAAAATAAACGTAATATAAAAAATTAATTTAAATAAAATTAATTTAGTAGCCCTCTTTGAGTAAAATGTTAATGAATGTGTGAATGTAGGAGGGTGAGTTACGGTAGCTATAAGATTTATTCATATATGTATAATTATAATTGAAAAAATATGAGAAATAAATATAAATTTAAACATATCAAGCTGATATAAAATTTTATTATTTTATATTTGCAACAATTATCCTTTATACGGGGAATAATAAGCACAATAACTGTATTTAAATTTCATGCTAATATGTAAATATCTGTATAATTTACATATATAATATTATATATATGTAAATTTAATTGTGTGACTCGCAGTTAAAAAACCAGCTTGCAGGTTCGGTAACTTTTCTTACTGTCGACTGTTATGATTGAATTATAAATTAAACCAAGTTAAGTTTATATCGTACATACACATATATTTTTATTCATTTTTTTTTTCTTTTTTGTTAGATTAGGATTAAGTAATTATAAGTTTAGGTTTTTAAAAATTGTGATTGTTATTAATAAATGATTAAGTAAACTGTTACAAGGCTCTGCATTTTAAGGTTCAAAATCAAATAATTGGAGCAAACATTTTGCCTATATGGACGGGCCGGCCTTGATATCAACTATTCACTAAGGAAAAATGTGATCAAAGTCACACAACACAGAAATGGGGTGGTAGCAGTAAGACCTAGTTTTCTAAAGTTCCCTCTCACCATCCGTTCTGTTTCTCTACGGACGAAGAGCTCGTGACAAAAATATATACCTACATAAGAGCTTAATAAAGCTTGATATTTCAGTATACCCATTTATTAATAATAAAAAGATTTTGTTCATTAAAATACTTTTGAATTTATTATATTTAGTTCCTAAAGTTTTAATGCAATTAGAATATTAAAGTTTTATTCTAATTTTCCACTTCGAGGTGGTTTCTACATTTATTTTTAAAGTAAACTAGTATTGAAAGCCAGCTTCACATTTATGAGTTGTGAAAAAAAGTTAGTGTTTGATGAGCTGACTTAATTTAAACATGGCGGAAATGTTACGACCCGGTAATATATCTTGATGGCCCGGTACCGGGTATCGGACCTGGCAAATGGGAAACACAGGTATAGATAATCAACCGTATGACTTATGCAGTGGTTTGGTATGTATCCCATCTCTTTTTCAGTATAACCGGACAGGGCAGGGTTGTCAGTGTAACCAGGCCATCGCGGTGGTGGGCGCGGGCGGTGGGGCGAGCGGTGTAAAGAGTGTGTTCCGCACGTGGAACTGGCCTCACATGCCGGTGCGCATCTTCACGTACCGCGTGGGGGGTGACGCTGCCTCCGGTCACAATATGAAGGATATGGCTTGTACCAACAAGGGTACGATAACATACTAGATATAAATTAATAGACTAGTTAAGTGTAAGTCGCACCGTGAAAGTACAATACATTTAATTTTTTTTATTTTATGTCTTACTAAGCCCGAAATAGTAATTTCAGAGATAATCAGGGGAATAACATGAAAAATAATGCCTTAAAATTATAAAAAGAAAATATTGATTCTTACAACAAGCATAATATTCTTCAATATTCAAGATATAAACTTTTAAACTTTCGCGTTACATTATATAAAACTGTTTGGAACGGGTATTAACGGCATAGATTGATAGTTAGGTTTTTCACCACCGGTAGCCCGTGACCACGGCCGGTGTAACCCGTTCTAAACGTCGGAAGATACAGGTAAGTGAAAAACCCAACTATCAATCTATCGCGTTAATACCCGTTTCAAAAAATCTAATTTAAGATATAATATGCAAACCTTTTTTAGTTAGAATTAACCTTAAAATTTATCCCTGTATTACAAGCCATTTGTTTGCGTATACGTCCATGTTTTGAAACACTGAAATAAACCGTATTTACAGTGGTTTGGGGTTATCACGAATGCGAATAAATGTTTGTTCTAACTAATTTAAAGTTTCTTTATCAACAGTTTTGGTGGTAATTCATCATGTCCGGAATTTCCCCGCTTTTGATATTACCCCAAAGCACTATATCACTTTTAAAGACAGCGTTATCCTGTGGCCTCATACATGAACGTACTATGAGTAAATATAGTAAATCCTTAATGAATGGACTGATATTTACTTTAAGGATTCTACGTGACAATCAATGAGCACAGTGAGATCCGGCCGAAGGTGTTGCACTTTGTAGAGGTGCTCGCGCGTCCACTAGTCATGTACCAGACGGTACATCCTGTACATTGGAGCCCAGTATATGTCGGCGGCAGGGTAAGCCATATATTGTACAATTAGTTCCACAATATGTCTTATTTCTCCACATGAAATAAAAAAGTAAAAGTAAGAACGGTAAACTGTAGTTGTTTATTAAAGATTTAACAAAGAAAAATATATATTTAAAAACAATACAATACAAGCTGTCGTTAACAAATTTAATAACCTGACGTGCTGTTGACTGTACATTAGATAAACGAACAAAACAGAAAAGACTTCTGACTACTTCTAGTCGGATATCTCTGTAATTTATTATCCGTAAAACATGATTTCTGATTTCAATCACAATGAAGATTATGATTATTGACGATTTTATAATTTATTTGTAAATAACAGAGCAGTAACTTGGACGACGACGGGATGGGTCAGCTGATGGCGTCTGTGACGGTACCCATCTTCGACAGGCGCAACCACACGGTAATATGTGAATAAAATTAGAACACTGATTACTAACACCATCTATTGGCCAGTAGAGTTATTAAATAATAGACTCCACGACGCAATACACTGACGAACAAAAGTTCTTAAGTGGTTTACATACAAAAACCTTGATATCTTCCAAAATATCGAATATTTATTACGCAGTAAACTGAAGTCTCTTTCATTTTATTTTTTGTTCTGTTCTGTTCTTAAAACTTAAAAGAACCTCGTTAGCATTTTTGAGCATTCAAAATTTTCAAAATGACCTGCACGCGTAGCGTGACAAACTCGATAATACTTTACCTAAACTAAATGTCATTTTCTCCGGTCGAAATTAATAAAAAATTGTATGGTGTACACATATCGTTCTCGAGTTTGTCATGATACCGAGTGTTGGAACTTTTGCTCGTCAGTTAATATTATATAGTACAAATGTTATTTTTTTAATTATGTTACAGCAACGAGAAGCTAACCTTCTGGGAGTGGTTGGCACTGATGTGCCTGTCGATCAAATAAAGAAGCTCGTTCCACCTTATAAGGTAATTATTTTACAACGGCGTGCACTAAATAAATAAATATTACCTATTACAGAAAGGAATTATTTTTACTTAAGGATAACTAAATGGAACTTATTTTTGAATATACAAAATTATAATTTGAATATAAAAATTATACATAATAACATTACTTTTTGAAGTCCTTCTTTTCATTTTTTTATTTCAAATATTTTTTTATGGATCACCCCAGGCCCATAATCTTTCGAATGAAAGAACATTTTGGAAAGCCAGCAAATCACGGAGAAAATAGTCATCATCATCATCATCAGCCCTTTTTACGTCCCCACTGCAGGGGCTCAGGCCTTCCTTATGAATGGTTAAGGAGGATGGGCCATAACCCTCCACGCTGGCCCAATGCGGATTGGAGGGTATTAACGTCTGCAAATGCAGCCGGGACCAAAGGCTTAACGTGCCTTCCGAAGCACGGAGTAGCTCGAGATAATAATTTTTTGGTCACCCATCCCGTGACCGACCCTTGCGAAAGTTGCGTAACGACAACGACCGCGGGCCGCGGCGCTTATCCACTACGCCACCGAGCTACCTAGGAGAAATTAGTAAACAGATATAAATAAAAAAACACCTACATACCCGTCGAACATAGAACTTCCTGCGTTGTGATTTTTGTATGTCATAAACAGAAAAATTCAAGAAAAAAGCAGTTATTTTTTAATTTGAATGAAACTTATTAGTAGCTGTGACAAATCTGCTATTTAATAAATTCTCCTTGGTAAATATTAAAGTAGGAATACTAGTAATTAAGAAGTGATTCATCATCATTAACATCATATCAACCGAGAGTCGCCCACTTCTGGGCATAGGCCATAGAAGTAATTAAGAAAGTTTAACTGACAAGTAGTTAAGCGGCAACAGAAGAGTTAAAACCAAATATAGATCAGATAAAAATAAACATATAACTTGTAACCACAGCTGTTTTATTTTATCAAAACTATTCTGTTTAATCACAGCAGAAATTCCCAGTAACTTCTTTTTAAATATATAAATAAAATTAAACCAACCATTTTTTCGCAGCTGGGAGTAAACGGCTACAGTTTTATGGTGGATAACAACGGGCATGTATTGTATCATCCAGATTTAAGACCACTGGTAAGGAATCATAAACGAAATCTCTAATATACCTATATACATACAACAATTGGTTTTTATATCATTCTGGTTTTATAATGTTTTCTTTTTGTTTTGTTACAGTACACTAACGAGGAAGTAAGTAGAGCTGATATAAAATATATATAAATAATTTAAGTACTACAAATAATAAAATAATTTTTCCTAGTGTTAATATTACTTAAAGAAACGATTTTTTTTATATTCGATGTAACGGGGATAATATCCTGACACTGGCTCTGATGCCCAAAAAATCTTCAAGATATGATTTTAAGAAAATGTTTAGAACGATTCGAAATTACCTGAAATTGCGTTCGTAAACAAACACAGTAGGTACTCAGATCTACCAATTTCGACGGTGATCGAAATTAACTTTAAAATTTATAGCGAGTCTTGTTTCAGTTATCATAAAGTGTATGTTTCGCTCGAGAATAGGTCTTCAGCACCTGTAACATGACAAACTCGAGAAACGCTTTGTCTACACCCAAATGTCACTTTCTCGGGTCAAGAGTGAGATGTTGTATGAGAAAAGTGACATTTGAATGTAGACAAAACGTTCTCGAGTTCGTCATGCTACGCGTGCAAGTGTGGTGTTAATTCTTACGACTTATATGTTACGCATTTGTTATGTATAGTGTAAGTATGTAGTTGTAATTTTTTTTGTTACAGTACACGGAAACATTGCGTCCATTGTACTCGAGTGTCGACTTGACCGATGTAGAATTGTTGGTGGACTCCGATGAGAACTCCAGAATCAACCTCACCTCGCTGTTGCTAGATGTAATTGATATTTCATTTATTGATAATAACTTTTGACATTAGTAATTGGCAAAAGAGTAAGACCTTATAAAATTAAAATAATAAATAAAACTTAGGTTTAGGGGAAATCAATTATTCATATAGATTTATAAAACCAATTCTGAATTGTCTAACATTTGGGAGGAATGGACGAAGACGTTTGAAGCTCTAATAAATGTCAAATTAGTATGGGTAATTCGACTTTAAAATGATGACAATTTCAATGGACTGTTGTGCAACTGGCTGCAAGATTTTAAATTAATTCATGTAATTTATATATTCATTATCGTTAACACAACAGTTATGTATAACGATAGTAGCTAAATTTGGCATTGTACTACACTCTTTCAAATATTTTTTAACTTCTTTTAAACGAATGTGAAATAATTCTTTTTCCGCAACATGCGCCGTTTTTCTTTTATAAATTTTATTTACCGCGTTCCGAAACTACTTATTTATTTGGATTAAATAAACTTAAGCACAAAATTCTTTGTCGATTTCCAGCTTCGTCACGACATGATAGAGCAACGCGAGGGCGAAACGGAGATCGGCGTGAAGGTGCAATACGATGGCATGCGACGCGTAGCGACGCGACGCCAACGCTACTTCTATAGCCCTGTGGACGGCACGCCTTACTCTCTAGCTGCTGTGCTACCTGACGGTTACGGCATGTATGAACTACATGCTGAACAAGAGCTGAAACACAGTCCAGTCAACGGTCAGTTATATCACGAGACATACATGGTCCAGTTTTTATTTGATTTAATATTTACGAAAAATATTATCAAAATTACGAATTTCCTCACTATCTCACTTCTCTAAAGTGTATTTAAAATTGTAAATAACATTAAATACGCCAAACTTTTGAGCAACAGTTTTATCATATCATTATAAAAAGCCTGTGACTTCTAAATTATACTTCATTATTTTCATTTACAGTGACAGAGTTTTTCAAGGGAGATGACTGGAAAGTACACCCAGACTGGTAAGCATGAATTATGTTACAATATATTATTATATTTATTACTAGCTGTCCGCGTGTAAAGTAGCCTAAGTTACTCCTTTTTACGCAAGCTACCTGCTAGTGAAAGTTCCTCCAAAATCGGTACAGATAGAGAAAAAATGCTATATTGAAATGTCCCGTTAACAAGAGCCAGATACTATTAATAATTTATTCTATACATTAGTTTACACAATTGAAGCTTCTTTATAACAGGGTGTATTGTGAATACGCATCTACTTCGGAGCAATCGTTCAATAGTCCAGAAGAACAGCTGATCCATTTCTTATCACGTGCGGGGCGACCCGGCTGGAAGTGGATGTCGCTGCGGCCGCGCGCGCTCACACTACACAACGCGCATAAGAAACAAGACAGGGACTCTTATTACTGTGAGTTATCAGAACGTCTTCGTAATACGAAGACCTTCCCTATAAAGAGAATCGACTCCTCGGTCCCCATCTATCTTACTCCAGGGCGTACTGAGAAAAACAGTCTTTTGGTTTTAGTCCCCTAATAAACATGAAATCTTAAGGTGCTCCCAATAAGGATGGGTCTGCGCTGAACTAATTCATTTCGTTCATTTTCTGTTATTATGCATTTTGCAGTATATCAGTTTTAATATCAACTAGCTTACCCGGAGAACTTCGGACCGCCATATTTTTATTTTATATACCCGTTTTTTATAAAATGATTTTTTTTATATAAATTTTCTTCAATACAAACCTTGTCTTGACAATAAGGAACACATAAATGTGTAAAATGACTTTATAGTATATGAAATAAATCAACAATGAAAAAGCAGCTCTTGCTGAGTTTCTTGCCGATTCTTCTTACAAGGTCTTCCGATGTAGGTTTGAGAACCGATGTCGTAGCTTTCGACATTCACAAGTGCTAATAAGAGCCTAGACTGAATAAATGATATTGAATTTGATTTGTATGTTCGTTTGTATTTTAACATATTAATTTGTTTCACAGGCGACAAAACCTTAGTTCAATCTCTGATTAGGGATGCTATGGTAATCAAAGAGTTGGACGCACACACTGGACATGCAAGTCACCATTCACAGTAAGTAGCTAAATCAAAATTAAGCATGATTTTATAATAACAAGCACATGAGGTTTTACTCTATCCTTAAGGAATTATATGAAAGAAAAACTAAATTAATATTCTATACTCAATATCAAACTACAAACTTTTTCTTCAATCAATCAATCAAAATCTAATTGAAAATGAGTGATCGTGAAATTGCAATAAACAAGCAGTCCGAAAATTTGCGCATTTACCAACTTTACAATGATAAATTTGGTTTCAATCCTAAAACACTACACTTATTTGCATGTTACAAATGGCACTTATTTATTTAATTTTTAAGTTCAAATTAAGTTGATCACTAATTTCACATATGTTTGTCACACGATTAGCCCAATAGCGACTTTAATGGCTCTTCTGACAAGGTAAAGTAACCCGAAATTTTCAACACGGTTTAGTAGATTTTTTAAACATTGTAGGTCCAGCTAAAAGGTACGAAGTACTGGTATTTTAAACAGAGATTATTCGTGTGCCTGAAGCAGATCAATCAGGTACGGTATTTAAGTTAACAAAAGCATCGTATTATATTCAAATACGCCGCTGTAAAGTACATAACTATACAGTAGTATCATTCCATCTTCAATAAGCCAGTATCTCTACAATTAGAAAGGTATAGAAAGAAATATAAGTATTGTCGGCTTTTATTTGTTTTTTTTTAGGCTATCGGTCAGTTGCACAAACGACCATTAATGTTTAATGACGTCTTTATGCTCTAATGAATGTCAAATTTGTATGGGTAATGTCGCTTTAAAGTAATGAAAATTGTAATGGACGTTTGTGCAACCGGCTGTATGTAAAACAGCTAACTAGAACCAAGGTATAGTATCATTAGAGAGTAAGCTAATTGGTATTTTTTTCTAGCTTACAAGGATGTAATTATTTATAAATTTTCTTGTTAAACTTACTATTGTAATAAATACCAGACCACATTTCCAAATTCTTAATTGAATGTAATAAACTTTAACTCATCTCAGGTAGCTAATACTATGAAGGTATTATTAAACGTCACAAATCTTAAGCTGTTATTCCAGCGACTACCTTTACTCTGGTTTCCCTTCATAAATCTTTCTTTAAACGACTACCTATTGTATGTTACAATTATGAAACTTTTGTATGCAAACGTTCCCATATTACTAAATTATTAGTTTTACATTTTACTTTCGTGGTCTATTGACATGCGCAGGTTTCTACATGTCATCTTTGAGGTTGTGAGTACGATTGCTGGTAAGGTTAATGTAGAAAACAAAAATTTCTTGCGCCTGGTCGGATATGGTACCTTTAAAGTTATATTGTTTCTTGTTATCTGAACAATATATCATTGATCTTTGACCTAAACCTAACCACAGAGAACATTTAATATTGAAGGCTTCTTCAATATTAAATTTTAAAATAAAATACTAAGCATCGAAATAATCTTTGCAGACAAGGAAGATTCCACAAGTTTCAAGTGGCTCTTTCATTCATCGCCACGCGTAGCGGTCTTCTGAAATGGACAGAAAACAGCAACACTTCCAGGAATTCAGAATCTGCTGAACCGTAAGTACCTACTTAAACATAACAATTGGTATTAATTCATTGTTTCAGATAAATCACAAATCGACACGTAAGCATATTTACGAATAGGTACAAATGCCCAATAAAAACTGTTTTTTATAAAATGCATTCATTAAACTCTATAATGAAAAAAAATATCCTAAATGTATTTGAATATCATTTCAGGCATTTTAGCGAAAAGTATGCTCGAGCATTTGACTCTGAATGGTACCGTCGCGCGGTAGAACATCACGCCATAGAACCAGAAAGCTTCGTATTCTCCGTGCCGTTCCGTGATAGCTCCGAAGCCGAAGACCTCAGTGGAAGACCGCCGTTAGTTTTGGCGACTCATGCAGTATTCGTAGAATCAAGGGGACATAGAGCACCGGCTGCCGTGGTCGGACTACATTTCCAGTTGGATTCGCTTGCCAAGCATTTTCTGAACGTCACATCAACTGTAAATACTTTATTATGTGGTCCAATTAATATAAGCTACTTATGGTCATCAGAATACTGATTATCTTAAAAATCTTTCTTATCTTGTATACAGTGCACAGCTGGTAGCGTATGTAAGAAGACGTGCGCTGGAGATGAACTAGACTGTTATATCCTGGACGACAATGGTTTCATTATCCTCTCAGAAGATGTATCACAAACGGGACGTTTCTTTGGACAAGTAGACGGGACCATCATGGATTCATTGGTCCAGGATAGGATATATAAGAAAATCACGGTTCACGATCACCAGGGACGGTGTCCAGACTCGAGGAATCCTTTTAGCGGAAGTGGCAACAAGTTAGGGGTAATACTCAATATTCAAGTACCTACAGTTTAATGGTAATACTCTTTCCCTTGTGTACTAATTAGGTAATTTTTTGCAGCTTGTCAATCCGTTAACCTGGATCGGAAGCTATCTCACCAATCTACTGGCGGTCTGGTTCCCATATTGGGAATCTGTGAGTGCACGATCCCATCCTCACGGAGAAGAAGATATAGGTACATCACATTGCTTCACTTTATGTTGTAATTATAAGCGAATATTGGGAATTTAGGAGAAATTGGGCAGACAAACCTTTCTGATCAAGAAAAGCACATGTTACTAGTAGTGTTTTTGCCCTAGTAACCAAATTAAGTTTTATACTTACAATTATGTACAAAAATATAAATTTCGCACAGCCTGTCGTCAGCACCGACATGAAACTTGGCGTCCTAGGCAAAACATTGGACTTTAGCGCCTCTAGAAAAGTCACAACAAAATAAAAGACTAATGTAGGTACACCAATTAAAGAGCGTAATTTGGCAATGGCAAAAAACTCCTTGCTGTGAAAATTTCGGACGGACTCATATTCAAACAAAAGTTTTTTTTAAGGTACTGCATTTTTAAGGTTCAAATGATAGGAGCAAACATATATGTTTGCCATGACACGCCCTAGCAATATGAACGCGCTAGGCAGTTGAATTGTTTATTTATATGGACTAGTTGGCACTGCCTGTCGTTACGTCGACTGTTATAATTATCATTTATAAACAAAGCCAAAGTCACGATAACTTTATTCAAATAAACTTCTTTAAACTACTTTTGAATCGTCCAACATATTTCTCCTACCACTCGTTTATTTAGCGTGTTAACAGGAATAATTTAGAATTTTAAAATAATCATAGATCTAAGCAGTTTGGTCACAAATATATTAACTTCTAAAACCATCTAGACAACTACCAACCTTGCATGGGCTATAATATTCCATTACTGGACTTGAAATGAAAATTGATTGAAGAATGATTTTCTAGATTACGAAGACTACGAACACGAAATAACGAACCATGACGATGACATGGACCGCGACCGTGGCACCTATGAGATCATTATTGACGGCGTCGGAGGGGGGAGTCCCGCGGGCGAGGAGGCGCGGCCGCGGGAGGGAGGCGGGGCAGTGGCGCGGGAGCCGCCACGGGAGGCCGCGCGCTCCGCCGCCGTGCGACCGTGCGACACCAGCGCGGAACTGTTCACACTTCAGTCCACGAGGCTAAACGCCGCTCAACCACTCAAAGGGAAACTGACCAATTGTCACAACTCGGGATGCGAAAGGTGTGTGATGGCAATCAAAATGCAAGGTGGATTTTTGAAAGACGGATGCTATAACCGTAATAGTTATAGGAAACCTTCCAATCTCCAAAAATCTCGTAGAACTAAAACATGGCTTACGTAACAAATAAAGGTTAAAGTTGTTTCGAAAGGCACGTGCAGCCGGTGGTCCCGGCCTCATTTGAAGCCGTTATACTGCCGCCGGTATATCCCTACCAATCCGCAGTGGGCCTGCGCAGTGGCTAATGGCCTATTTTCCCTTTTTGATTCTATCCATAAGAAAGGACTGTATGTGACTCGGTAGTGGGGATATTAATAGTCTTGTGGTTAAAATATAAAAAATGAAACAGTGTTGTCCTTTCAGAAGATGTACCTAGATGATGAACCTAGGGTGCGATCATCTAACTCTCTATCCATAGTATACATCTTACCGATATCGATATTTGAAGCATGTCTTATTGGGGCCATTCATTTATTACGTAAGACGTTTTCGGGGGGAGGGGGGTCTATAATGTCTTAGTTTTTCTTACAAGGGGGTGGGAGGGAGTCTCGATAGTTCTTACGTAAGATCAGCTAATGGGGCTGATGTGGAATGGGTGGACGACAACGACGTCACTATCCTGACTGACCAACAAGAAGCAACACCTTTTATTGAGAGATGTTTCAGTGGCAGATACACTTTCCGAGTGGGTTTTGAGTAACTGTTCTGAAAATTTTGAAAGTTACAAAATCCCATGAATCGCCATAACAATAGTTATACCTTTGCAATAGCTTGCGATAGATATTGAAGTTTTCCATTTACACATAACATTTATTTAATTTTCAAACACAACAATGATCAGTTGCTGTGGGAATTAAAATAACACTCTTTTTCTCTTTCTTGAGTCTTATACGCAGTATGTACCATGTTCACGACAATGTTTTCCATTTATCCAAATATTAATAAAAATAACTTTAACTTTTAATGGTATTATTTGATAACGAAAAGGGAGGTACTTGGACTAATGAGACTAAATTTCATTTGTATGTGTATAGTATTGTATCAATAATAGCTTCTCCTTACCAAAAATAATAGAAATAATTATGTATATAAAGTGGAACCTGTTTTTGTTACCATACTGTATAATAATAATAATTTGTGTGTATTGCTTACTTTACTTCGAAGAGAATTATTCAAATTATGAAACTCTGTTCTTGGCTAGATTAGATGTATAAGTGAACACAAATTGATTGTAAAAAAAAAGCTGTTGAGTTTCTTATTTAAAAAAAAATGCGCTCGCAGGCCGTTCAGCGTGCAGAAGATCCCGCACAGTAACCTGATCCTGCTGGTGGTGGACACGCTGTGCCCGTGCGGCGCCAAGCGGCTGGACGTGCGTCCGCGCGAGGCCGCGCCCCGCGCCGCGTGCCGCCGCGCCCCGCCGCGCGCGCACCGCCGCCGCCCCAGGCATTGCGTCTCATACCACCCGGAGGTAGGCATTATCGCACGTTGAGAATGACAATGTCACTAACCAAAAACGGCGTATTTTTTACTTTTGGCAACGTTTTTCTTTGTTAAGTTTAAACTTTAAAATGCAAAGATCCCTGTGAACGTAGTTTGCATAGAAACTGCTAGGAGGGGTGGATTACAATTTCTTGAGCTTTAAACGCTCGTTACTCAAAATCGCATTTTTTGCATTGTGTCACTATCGTTCTCAACGTACGATATGAAGTCTAATACATATTATTATATGCCAGGACTTTGTGTAGTGAATCAGTTAAGTATACTGATCAACTTTCACTCTGGGAGCAACACTGAATTCACGAAAAAATAATCAGCTGTTTCATACTAATGCGGTTGTAGGTATTACAATTTTGTATACCTTTGGAAAACATTGCGATCGAGCATGAAAGTACTTCAGGTCTTTAATGGATTTATTTCACTCTTTTCTGACTGATTTGATCTCTAGGTACTGCAACACGATAGCTTGAAAGAGGTTATAGGTTGTTCACCCCACTCTGGACAACAGTAGGCGCGAAAACGATACAGATTTCGCTAACATTCAAGAAGAAACATTTAAAATTAAAACTGACTATTTATTCAAATGTACCAAATAACCTTTTACACTAAATGGTTTCCGATAGGTAGCTATATATTTTAAATTCCAGAAAAAAAACAATTTTACTTACGCATTATGACTTTCATCATACTGGACCATATAAAAAAAAACTAAAAATCTATCCACCAGGAAATCGAGATTCTCTCTTGCGGACGTGGTGGACGAATCGTACCCATCTTCGGACTATTGGTTGCACTGGTGCTTCGAGTGGCAGCCAGCACGTGACTGCCTCAAGGAATCCTGTACTACCACTAGGCTCGTCATTACCGGCCAGCCTCCACGCGACCGAACGTGAAGCTTTGACAATACTCATTTTTTTTCTAGTAATCACGACAAAGGAAGCTTCTGAACAGGTCGACGTTCATGTGTTCCAACATCGCGTGTGAACGACGAACAGTTGTGAAACTGTGTTATACGGTGCGATGTGTTTTGATGGTCGCATCGCCGTAGTTGATAAATGGCAATATGGCCACGCTCGACTAAAAAGACTGACTACTTTGTTCGCACAATAAGAACCTTAATTTATATCGTGAACGAACAAAATAGGTAGAAAACTTTAGCATAGATGTCCTACGACGATGCGACTTATACACTATTTACTTATACGTCTACGCGAGGGTTATAAAAGAGTTTTGATCAATTTTACCGACTGAAGTTTTGGTCCGACCAAATGAACTCTTGATCTTGTTTTAAGACAGGATTATCTACTGGAATTAGGATACGATAGTGACATAAATATTTTCTCTTCTGTGTTAAGTTATCACGTTTCATATTGTAACTAATGCAGACGCATACAGTAAATAGGTAGGTAACAAATATCTTGTTATATTTAAATTGAGGATTATCACAAACTTGGGAGATCTTATAAATTATAACTAGTGTTAATAATTATTGAAAGATAATGTAAAGATTAATATCGTTTGAAACTGTTTTAGAAAAATTTACCTATGTTGAACCTCGATTTATTTTCTCGACGTGTGTCATTCAAATTATTCGCAAATGTATTTTATAGTCGCATAGTGTTCGTGTAAATAATAACTGTTTTGTTTGTAGATGTTTATGTTGCTGGGTTTATGTGTGCCTGTGTAACTTTAAATAATTATATAATTAATGGTCGCCGTGTCGTAGGGACGGCTTCGCGAGTAATTTTTATGCGTAATGAATATTAAACTGCAATCTCTAATAAGTTTTACTTATAAACTATGTAACTTGAATGTTTTCAGTCTAAAATTGAAATGGTTTTTCAAAGAGTTTTAATATATGAAAGTTAATTCTAAAATTGTGAAACGAGAGGCTCGCGTCGCTGCTCCCACCGACTCTTTGTCTAGTTATTAGTGTTTTTTCTCGCCTAATCTTCGAGTAATGTCGTATTGAAGAAACTGTAAACAGTTTCGTATTTTTATTGTAAATATTTTAGAAACTTAAATGGCCTATTTCATTTTTAAGATTGATCGTTGCTAGGTAATATTGGAGTCGTATATTCGACTTTGTGGTGAAACTACGTCATATCAACCTGTCGCAAGCATTATATTTGCATATCATTTTACTTTGATCTGGATACGGTATCGTTTACTACATCATATGACAACTTTAAATTCTCATTAAAAAAAAATAAGCGTATTTAAGAAACTCGTTTGTAATTATACTAAATGTGAATGTTGCATAGGAATAATGTTCAGGTATTATAAATAATAGATTTTTATATTATCATAATGGTATCGTGTATATAGCTTGCTATTGTCCGTTTTGTTCATATAATTTTAAATGCCATTAGAGTTTTTCAAAATAGTATCAAAATATTTATAAACAGTCCATTGCAGAGTGCCAAACCACATTTTCATTTTTTTTACATTCGTTCTACGGGACCGAATAAGACGTAACACATGCCTAATATAGCTACAATATAACAGTAATGGACAATAGCATGCTTAGTTCTCCAAACGTAGAAAATTACTAAGATAGTTTTCTTTCCGACAAAAACTTACGACCTGTCCTCAAGTGAATCACACTTACGAATGCATTTTTCGATAAAAAGACAGTACTAAATCTTAGTTTGAAAATGCACAATTTATAATGAATTAATATAATTCAACTTAAACTTGATCCTCGAAAATAGTCGGTAATTCAACAGAACACCATAGATAAGAGAGTAACTATTTTTATAAGTTCAAATTTCATAAGTCGCTCTATTACGGCGCATGTCGGTGTATTTTCTTTATACTTATATGGGGTTGCCACTCTTAGTCTTTCTAGGACATTCCAGCTTTCTTTTTCAAATAGTATTTAGCAAAATCCCGTTTCTTTGAACATCGTGTTTTTCATTTTTGTTGCTGATAGTCAAATTTCACATGTATGTTTTAAAAGAAATAAATACTGTTCTTATGATGGATACTTGCGGATTTAATTATGGCAACCCTATACTGAGACCATTTCATCGAATAAAAAAACTAACACACATAGACAAACATCAAGTCATAGACCATACTTTATTATATTCATACTATTGAGGATCGCTTTTGATAAATTGTACATTTTGTATAAATACAGTAAGAAAACGATTATATTGGCGTAGGATTGTTTCTGTGGTGAGAGGCGATCGACTGATAATGTATTGAATGTGCTTCTAGTAAGCGTCGAGTCTTCCATAGCAGTCGAACGCGCCGATGGGTGTTAACTGTAACGTCTAAGTATTAAAAAGATAATAAATAGTGTATACTTAAATAGTGTAGGCGGAGCTCGCTCGTGCGTTATAATATTTTTGACTTGCACATCGCGGGTTAGTTTGTAAACTGATAGACACAAAATAAATACCTCGTTTAGTTACTCAGAGTGTAATAGCTAGACAGAATTAGCATTTACTTCGCATTTAGTTCTTGAACATATCAAATTCAGGCACCAAAAGAGACTTTAGTGTAAGCAATTTTTAAACTTTTCAATTGTGATCTTTTTGTGTATTATATATGAGTGTCGTTGTAGACGCTATCTCAAGTAATATTACAGCGGATGTCGCCTACGAAGACCCTATAGGTTTATATATGCAATAAGTTTGTAAGAGAAGTAACAGTCAACTCTAAATCTTTGCCATAATATTATCGGTGTATGTACATTTTTCTATGATGAGAAATATAAATATCTAAATCGGTTATATCTTGTAATGAATTAACATTATCGAACATTCCCCTGTTAATGCTTTTTAGGAGTATATTCAAAATTTATACGAGTACTTTGGAGATTATGAGATGAAAAGTGTTGTCACTGTTAACAGATTTTTTTTTCTTATACTTAGTTATATATAATATGTATAGTTGTATAATTATTGGGCACGGCCGACTCTGTGAACATGGTTCTCTAGCGTAATTCTAGTAAAATACTGTTCGTTCTTTTGTTACTTGCCAATTCATGCTATAGATATACCGTAATTACAACAATAAAATTCTCTTATAACATTGTGAATAAGCGTTTCAATTATACCAATTCCTTAACTAGCAATAAAAAGAAATGGTAGAAATGAAACTACTAAGTTTCTGGTATTGCCAGTATCAGGAAAAAAACTACCATATTAGTAAAAAAATGACATTTATTATCGATTTTTTTACATATACAAACTAGCGGCGAATACAATATCACGCTTTAGAAGCTTAATGGCTTCGCTAAATTTGTTCTCTAGATCTGTGTTACCAATGTTCTTTGCTGCCTGGCACAACTGCCGTAACACTTCTTCCAGCCGGCGCATACAACGTATTATTGAACCTAGGACGAAACAAATCCGTTTAACTAGCGAATACACATCCTCAGTTAAAATTAATCGATAGCGAATTGAAATATATGTATTTAACTAGTAAAAAACGGGAGAAATCAATATTTTGTAACAAAAAAGCTTCGGATCATCAATGTTGATGGAGAAATAAGAAAAGAAACATATTGTGCAAATGAAATTGAAAAGAAGACAAGCGAACAATGATACTACTAAAGTGACATCAAGATTTTTTTACAGTATTTTAAATACATTAATGCAAGATACAACTTAAATAGCGCATGATAAATCATTGTTTGCGTAGATCAGACTTCAAAAATTGTTAATGACCAAACATTCTATTAAAATATATAATGAGTCTTGTTTCAATAACCATAAGTTGTAAAATACGATGCATTTTATGTTCTTCTCGGTTACGCGCATTACACGGTCGCATGGATCATTCAGAAGTGCGCTACTTGAATCATTAATTGTCCTTATTAAAAAATGCTTAAAAATCCACTACCCCCATTTACCTGGAGATGGGACACAAACCCACAACCTTCATTGATACCTACCGATCCACACTGGACCCGCGTGGTTGATCAGAGCTTGGGAAGTGGGGACGTTAATGGGCTAGTCATGAAATAAGATATAACTGAAGTGCATTTACCTTCGAAGACATCAGTCATCTTGCATATTTGGAGGAAGGAAGCTCCCTTTGCCCATGCAAGCACCACGTCCATCAGCGTGCACTTGAACTTGCTCACGTATTGATCCTCGTCGAGATCCATCTTCGCATCTATAGACACCTTAGCTATACGACGTGCGTATTCCTACGGATTATTTCTTAGTTTTATCAATAAAGTTTACTTTTTTTTCCTAAATAGAAACTACTTCCAACTTTAAAACAGTGAAATATAATACTCATATTAGAAGCGAGTTAATTATTCAAGAAACTGCTATTGAAATCGGCCAGTTATCATTTAATAACCTATAGAATATAGAAAACCTCCGCAAGTCGTAAAAAAGTCAGTCCTATATTGAAAAAAAATTTGTTCATCATCTAAAAAGCTATTCGAATACGCGAAAATAAGACGAAGAATATTTAAAATATGGAAAAGACCAAGAGAAATATACTATCTTAAAGAAAAATTAATAAATATACTTTATTACCAGTGGTCGGAATTAGGTAGAGTTATTCATGTACTTGCATCGAAATGTTGATATTAATGTGGACCTTCCCGGGATTTCTTTACTTCTTCTTTCTTTATTTCTTTCTTTCATTGATGTAAGTTTAGCAACGTCGTGCGTGCAGTAGTTTAAATTGTGTAAAAGTAAATAACTTTTTATTTAAAAAATCACGGGATTTTTCTGCTCTTTAAAATTAATCTCGGGATTTGAGGCATATCCACTTTATTCTTTCGCTGTATGAAATCAGTGTAAGTACATAAATAACTCTACCTAATTCCGACCTCTGTTTATTACACACAGTAAACATGTATATAGAGGCACACATAATTAGTAATATATACGCAAAAGATTTTGATAAGGTAGCAATTTCTAGGAGGTAACCCTTGACTAAAAGAAACTATAGCAATAAGGAAGTATTTAAAAATAAAAATAAAAATATTCTCTTTCTGACGTTATAAAAGTAAATTGAGTATCGATATCATCATCATCATCATCATCAGACGGAAGACGTTCACTGCTGAACATAGGCCTCCCCCTTTGAACGCCACGACGGACGACATTGCGCCAGCTGCATCTAGTGGCCGCCCTTGACTCGGACGATGTCGTCCGTCCATCTAGTCGGGGGTCGACCCACGCTGCGTCTTCCGGTTCGTGGTCTCCACTCGAGAACCTTTCGTCCCCATCGGTTATCGGTTCGTCGAGCGATGTGGCCTGCCCACTGCCACTTCAGCTTACAAACTTTGCGAGCTATGTCGGTCACTCTAGTTCTTTGGCGAATATCCACGTTTCGGATCCTATCGCGCAAAGAAACCCCTAACATAGCTCTCTCCATGCCTCGCTGAGCGACTCTGAGCTTCTCTAAGAGGCCAGCAGTTAAGGACCACGTTTCAGTGCCATAGGTCATCACTGGCAACACACACTGGTTATACACCTTCGTCTTTAGGCACTGTGGTAATTTGGACGTGAAGATATCGCGTAGCTTCCCGAACGCTGCCCAGCCGAGTTGGATTCTTCGAGCGACCTCTTAGTCGGAATTGGATCTACCTAACTGGACTGTCTGTCCAAGGTACACGTAGTGATCGACAACTTAGAGAGTATCAGTGCCAATGACCACCGGTACGGGTGCAACATGGACATTCGACATGATTTTCGTCTTGTTCATGTTCATTTTAAGACCCACCTGTTTGGAAACGATACTCAGGTCGCTGAGCATTGTACTGATGTGCTCCATCGATCTTGCCAAGATGACTATATCATCGGCGAAACGAAGGTGAGTGATGTATTCGCCATTGATGTTGATGCCGTATTCGTCCCATTCCAAGAGCTTGAAGACGTCCTCCAATGCATTCGTGAACAGTTTCGGAGAAATGACATCTCCCTGTCTCACGCCTCTGCGCAATTGGATTGGTTTCGTGCTCTCTTCCTGGTAGCGAATCGACATTGTGGCGTTGCTATACAAACGCTTCAACACTTCGACGTACCTGTAGTCGATTTGGCATCGCTGGAGGGACTGCAGTACTGCCCAGGTTTCGATTGAATCGAAGGCTTTCTCATAGTCCACAAACGCTAAGCAAAGTGGCAGATTATACTCCTCGGTCTTCTGTATAATCTGCCGCAGCGTATGTATGTGGTCTATGGTGCTAAAGCCTTTTCGGAAACCGGCTTGTTCGGTAGGCTGGAAGTCATCAAACCGGCGTTCGAGACGATTCGTAATGACCCTCGAAAACAGCTTATAAACGTGGCTCGGAAGCGAGATTGGTCTATAATTCTTCAACAAGGTCTTGTCACCTTTTTTGAAGAAGAGCACAACCACGCTTCTGTGCCACCTTTCTGGCGTCGTACCCTCGAGAATGACGGAATTGAACAATTTCTAGAGGACTAAGAGTACCGGTTTTCCACCCGCTCGCAAAAGTTCAGTAGTGATTCCGTCATCCCCCGGTGCCTTGTTGTTCTTGAGCTGTTTGAGTGCCATTCTAATCTCGTACAGGCTGATGTCTGGGATATCCTCGGTGTGATGTCGGGTCAGCTTTGCTCTGGTGTCCTGAGCATTGCTTCCAACGGATTGTTGTGATGATGTGTACAACTGTCCATAAAACCTCTCAAGCTCAATCAGAATCTCCGGTTTTGAAGATACGATCCTGCCGTCGTCATTCTTCAGTTTCGTCATCTGACTCGACCCAGCAGACAAATTTCGTGCATACACTTTGGAGCCTTGGTTCCGCTCTATTGCCTCTCTAATACTAGTAGTATTATAGGAGCGCAGATCGCGTCGCATCGATTTGGAAATTCGTCTGTTAAGTCGACTATATTCCGACATATCGGTTGAAGATTGCAGTCTCATATCTCTCCGGTCCGCCATCAACTTGAGCGTTTCGTCTGAGAGCTTTTGAGATTTAATACGGCGCGGGGCCTTATAGAACTTAGACCCCACAACTTGGACTGTTTCTACAAACCCGTTGTTTATTTCGTCCACAGACTCGCATTCAGCTAGACACTGAAAGCGATTGTGTAGTTGGAGTTGGAAGGCTTCGGGGTCCACGATATGAGCAGCACTAGGACGGAGCGTAGACTTCATCAGACGTGATCTTTCGAGCTTAACAATGATATTCAATGTGCCTCTAACGATTTGGTGATCGCTACCGGTTTTCACCCTGCTGATCACGGAGACATCATTGAATATGTGCTTTCTTGTTGTCATGATGAAGTCGATCTCATTTTTTGTCGAACCATCAGGGCTCATCCAGATCCACTTCCTGGAGGGTCTCTTCTGGAAGAAGGAGTTCATCGCAAAGAGTCCCTCCTTCTCCATGCAATCGACCAGTTTCTGGCCCCGGTTGTTGCGTCGCCCATACCCAAATCGACCCACCCTCAACTCATCGCCGTTCGAAGCGCCCAGCTTCGCGTTAAAGTCCCTCATTACAACGGTGAAGTAGGTATTAGTCGTATGTATAGCTTCAGAAATCTACTCATACATAGCCTCTACCTCATCGTCGGAGTGTGAAGAGGTCGGGGCGTAAACCTGTATGACCTTCAGCGAATACCTTTCGGTAATTGTGAGTATAAGGTACGCCACTCTGCTCGACACACTATCGATCTTCACCACGTTGTTCACGAGGGACTTGTGGACGAGAAACCCAACACCACCTTGAGATTTTTGATCTTCCCGGAAGAAGAGCATGTTACCGGACTCAAGGATTACCGTATCCTGGCCCCACAGAACATAGAGAGAGAATAGAAGTAGTAAGTGGGCGGGGCACGCGTCGCTGGCATATGCGCTTTTACTCATATGACGCCCTTTCCTCGGTTTTATGTTTGCCAGTCGTTCGTCAATCGTCGAGTGGTGATTTTACAGATTTTTTCTATAAAAAATGCCGTTTTGTGCTATTATCACTTGCAAAAAGCAAAGCAAAGTATACAATCTAACTAATGCAAACATTTCCTTTCACTGGTAAGTACAATTTTAGTGCTAAAATATAAAAAACGTAATAATTTGACACAATGTTAAATAAAATATACATTGATTGCTCAAACCAACATCAATGTTTCTGACCCCATTACTAAACAGCAATGTAAATCATTTTGTGCACTTTTGCAAAAAATAGTGCTGTGCCTCCATTTGTCTGAAATGTACCGATAGGCTGGCTGCTGCTGCTCGGAATCGTATTGTTAATTTATATAGATCGTAATCGATAACTAAAACATATTTATTTAGAGCTTTTCTTTCATCATTTCATAACAACGTTATCGATAAATATATGCCATAATTATATAAAACTAAAAAATACTGTTTACAAGGGAAAATTATAGATGAACTGATACTGAACAAATGAAATAATGAACTGTCCAGGCACTTTTTTTACGAAGATTCGGTTAATTATTTACACACAGATAAATATTAAAAAATACTGATGTGCTATAAATATCTAAGTTACGAAGTCAAAGTCAAAGTCAAAGTCAAAATAATCTTTATTCAAATAGACTTCTTAAAAGTACTTTTGAATCGTCCAACATTTTTTCCCTACCACTCGTTCAGGACGTCTTTTGGCTGATAAGAAGAACGAGCAAGAAACTCACCAGCTCTAATATGAGTAATGACATTTACAAAAACCATGTCATTACCAGATCAATACATTATAAACAGAGATAAAAAAAAAAAAAACTATGGTCTTATAATAATAACATAATCATTTAATAATAATGGAAACAAGATAATGAGTTTAGAAGTAATCACCTATCCAGTTGCTGGATCATCTCAAGTCCAAGCGTTCTTATCTGTTACATAATCGGATACCTTATAATAAGCTTTTTTAATAAGTATTTTTTTAATAGTAGATTTAAACTGCATGATATCTAATTGTTGTATTTTGCTTGGGACCTTATTGTAGAAGCGCACACAAAGACCCTTGAAAGAGTTATTAACTTTTTGCAGTCTAGTGACAGGCACCGTTAATTTATTTTTATTTCTTGTATTAAAATTGTGTACATCACTTTTTATAGAAAACAAACTAATATTTTTACGAACGTACATTAAGTTCTCGTATATGTATTGAGAAGCAACAGTCATAATGTCTATTTCCTTAAATTTCTCCCTTAAAGAGTCCCTAATCCTAAGATTATAAATTGATCGAATTGCTCTTTTCTGAAGCACAAAAATTGTTTGTATGTCGGCAGCATTTCCCCACAATAGGATACCGTATGACATAACACTATGAAAGTAACTGAAGTATACTAATCTGGCAGTATCTATGTCAGTTAACCTACGTATCTTCATTACGGCATATGCTGCAGAGCTAAGTCTACTCGACAATCTATCAATATGTGGGCCCCACTGTAGTTTAGAATCTAATGTTATTCCTAAAAATACTGTGGTATCCACAAGGCCCATGTTCTTATCTTTTACATTAACATTTATATCTACTTTTTTAACATTAGGTAGTACAAATTTTAAGCATTTTGTTTTTCCTTCATTAAGGAGAAGATTATTTACATTAAACCAATGTACTACTTTAGCGATAGAATTGTTCACATCGTCATTTAGAGGTAACCCTCTTTTAATTTTAAACAAGAGTGAAGTGTCATCCGCAAACAAAACTATTTCGTGATCATCCCTTACGAAATAAGGCAAGTCATTTATGTAAATCAAAAACAAGAAAGGACCAAGTATTGAGCCCTGCGGAACGCCCATCTTAATTTTCGATCCAGGGGATCTTTTGCCATTGATATCAACCCTCTGTACTCTGTCAGTCAAGTATGAGACAATAAAATCCAATGAGTTATCTCTAAATCCATAAAAATGCAGTTTCCTAATCAATGTTTCATGAAAAACACAATCAAATGCCTTAGATAGGTCACAGAAAACACCTAACGCATCATGTGAATCCTCCCAGGCATTAAAAATTTCTTGTATTAACTCGACACCGGCTTCGGTTGTCGAGCGACCCCTTGTAAAACCAAATTGTTGTCGATTCATAAGCTTATTCTTGTAAAAGTACGTTTGTATTTGATCCAGCATGATTTTTTCAAAAATCTTACTAAACGTAGGTAGCACGGATATAGGTCTAAAGTTAGTAGGGTCAGATGTGCTACCCGATTTATGTAAAGGAATAATTTTACTATATTTCATGAGCTCAGGAAAAATACCACAATCAGTACATTCATTAAATATATAAGCTAAGATTGGAGCTATTGTCTCAATTACCGATTTAGAAACTTCAATGGAATTACCCCATAAATCAGCAGTTTTCGTTTTCTTTAGCTGATTAAAAGATTTTATTATATCTTTAAAATCAATGTGTTGAAACTTAAATTGGCTATTAGAATTATTTAAACTTGCCTTTAAAATAGATTCAGCAACAGTGGAAGAGGAATTCAAAGATTGTGTAATTAAGACTGGAATTTCAGTAAATAAATTTTCAAATACTGTAGCAACTTCAAGATCTGATGTTATTTTTTTATTATCAATGTTTAAATTAAAATTTATATTCCGGGATTTTTCTCTTCCAGTTTCACTATTTATGATATTCCACGTCATTTTAACTTTGTCTTTACTATTTTCAATTTTTGCATTTAAATAATTACATTTGGCTAAACGACACACTTTTTTAAATAATTTAGAGTAATTTCGTACATATTCTTTGAAGTCCTCACTTGTGTTATAATTACGTTCATCATATAGTTCATAGAGCCTTTTTCTGCTTTTGTAGATTCCTGGTGTAGCCCACACACTAAAAGTTATAGGATTACTAATACTTATTTTAAGAAGTATATCACCGTTTTATGAACAATACATAAATTAAACGAAACTTCATGAAAAGCTAAGAGTTGGCCTAATAGGTCTTGTTAGAAACTGGTGAAACTGGATTTCACTTATTTTGCATTACTTATATTCAAAACAACATAATATCTATACAAACAAAAAATTATGTTTTCAACTAACGTAATATTGTTGGTGGTGTGAATTTAATTTACAAAATTAATTTTTAGGCGTCAATTTAATTTACCTTATTATGCTGATTCATAATCAGAAACTATTATTATAGAAATCGAGTTAAGAAAGCCACTTTAAAGAACCGCCCACAGAACAGCTTTTATCAGTTTTTTTGTTGCTCCATATTTGCACATAAGTTTATAGACGCATGTCTCAAACGGATGTGACTTTATATGTAGATTGACGTTTGTACGTACTTATCGCTTTTGTGTCTATCTTCAAACTTTTTTTGTCACGGCTTTCAAACTCATACTGGACCAACAATTCCTTATTGTCCAGTCGTTGCAATTAATAATGTAGCTACTACTATTATTACAGATATAAAACTTAGAATAATAAAGTAAAACAAACATGGCTATGATCAATTTATTAGTGTAATGATCATATTAGTTATTATGAAATGAAATGAAAATATCTTTATTCAAGAAGGCTATTAGAAGCACTTGGAATGGCAAGTTTATTTTTATTTCTACTTTTTTTTTGTGAAGGACTCGTAATGTTTTCTTGCATACATAATATTTTCATTGATGTATTGAGAGGCAACAGTCAAAATATTTATTTCTTTAAATATTTCTCTCTGAGAGATTCTCTAGACCGTAAATTATATATAGCGTTGACAGCTCTCTTTTGTAGAATAAAAATATCTTGAATGCTAGCCGCAGAACCCCATAACAATAGATTATACGTCATTCATTACACTATGAAAATAACTAAAATATACCAATCTTGCCGTTTCAACATTTGTTAAGAGTCTAATTTTCTTAACAGCAAATGCTGCAGAACTCAGTCTACTTGACAAATTATCAATATACCAAAATACCAAGGAACTTTGTCGATTCCACCATCTCAAGTTTTTCACTATTTACATTTATAAGTATATTAACATGCCTCACATTAGGTAATGCAAACTTTATGTATTTCGTTTTATTTGAATAAAGATTTAAATAATTACTATCAAACCACTGTAGAAAATTGTCGAACTGAATTACATTGAACTGTTTCATAACAAAATTTAAAGCTCTTATTTTATCAACTAATATGTCACATCACTAATATGCACAATCGGAATGATACCAGTAAAAAAATACAAATTAGGCTTAATGTAATTAATACAAAAATTCTGTTGTTTTCTTAATTTTTGTTTTTTTTACACTTTCCCTCGCTTAATTATATTACTCCACAGACATACGATAGAGTGTATCATTAAGTTTTCTTAGTTTTTGTACTGCGTTTTTAAAAGATATTTTAATAAATTATGTAGGGAAAAGCCTTAATTTTTCAGTATTTATTTGGTTACAGCAAAATCTAATATTAATAGTTCGCACATAAAATGATGACCCCAATTTTTTTAAATGTGCATAATCTTAAAATATTTTTTTCCTTCTGGTATCCCCTTATACAGCCACGTGACAGTTCAACATTTATGTTAAAGTAAATTATTTATTATCACGTTGAATTAGAGTTTGTTTTTAATCTTGTGATTTCTTAGCTTAGTATCTTTTTGGGATTTGGTTTATGTTATCGCGAACCTATCGCGTGGCGGTTTTTCATGTAGTGAACAAAATGATCATTTCATCTAATCTGTATTTGTGTGCGGAGAGGCGACAGTCGGTTCCCATACTAAATTAATATCATTATACTTCTAATCTCTCTCTATGTTCTGTGCCTGGCCCTCTCTTCGGATTTCGGATAATCCCACTATGTCCCATCGCAACTTGCTCAATTCTTCCTCCAGCTCTAATAACTTCACGTCAGTCCTCAGTGTGCGGACATTGTATGTTGCCAGGGCCAGAGTCCGTTTGCGTTGGTAGCGCCGAATCTGCCGGGGATTCTTAGCACCTCCTGCCCCTCCGTTACCTGTCCCGCTACCAGAGACAGGAATAGAGGGGCTGCCGGGGACTGGGGGCCATAGATCATTGTCGTCCATCATGAGGGGGGGGGGGGGTTGCCATAATCCCCACGCTTGGCAGGCGACTTGGGGATCGCAGTAGGTGGTGGTAGGTGATACCGGGAGGCGCTGCTGCCCGCCTTCCGTATAATCCCTCAGTCGGCTCCTACGACACCCACGGGAGGATATGGGGGGGTGCTACTCTTAGGCCGGCACCCCACGGCTTCACACGAGTATCGATATAGAAATTAATAAATACGGAATCGTTTCGTGTCTTATAATATCCAACTTTCAAATTATTTTAATTTATTTGTGTTGTAACTTTTAAGTTAAGATAAATTACCGTTCGATGCCAAAATAAATAAAAAAAAGGGTACCAAATACGAGTCGGACTCGCTTACAAAGGATACTGTTATCTATAAAAACGTAAAAAAAAATGTTGTATGGGAGTTCTGTTGTGCAGAAATGCATCAAATGCAAAAGTTTCAACCGTCTCTAACTATCACGGTTCCGGACAGCGGAGTCTTATTATTAGGGTCCCGTTTTTTACCCTTTGGGTACGGATACTCTAAAATAAAAAATAGTTATCAAACCTGCAATTGCCGCAAAACACCACGTAATTCCTCCCCTGATGCAGAGGACTGCGTAGAGTTCTCGTCGCAAACGAAGCAGCTGACCAGAGAAGCGCTCTGCTCAGGACTCAGAGTGTTGAACACACCATTGAATATCAACTCCGTCAAAAGTAACTCGTCGGCACTAAGGAACAATATATTTTTAATGTTATTCAAAGGGATCTAACCCATACAGCCTAGTCTTTGGTAATATTTATTTTGTTTTCTCTAAAAACAAATGTGTTGGCTTGTTGGACAATAGCGATGATAACTAATTTTCGTTTATTTGTTTGTACATCATGTAGATAATTGAAGAACAAGTAACAAACAAATAAGTATTTATTTTTAATTTCTTTCGTAATCAATAATAAGAGTTGAAATATCGCATGACATCACACACCTTTGTACACTTTCTACATAGTTCTGACGTAGCGAGCCCCAACTCTTCAACTTTTATGCCTATATAAGGCATTTTAAATTGAAACAGACTAAATAGATTTTTTTTAACCCAGGCATCACCCCTATCTAAAAGTACTTTTAATATGTGTATTTGAATAAACTTTTTGACTTGGGACTTTGACACATGAAGAAAATAAAATGTATGTTTAAATTCGAATATTTTTTTACTAAAAGTTTGTTATTTTAATGTTGACGTTAATTTTAGTTTAAGCAACATGTTCGAAAGTGTTGTATGCAGTTGAAAGATCAAGGATTTTATATCAAATAAAAAAAGGGCACTAAAAAATACACTCTTTTTTAAGCAATCGAATATATACTCAGCAACTGTATTTAATCTATCTATACCAATATAAATAGGTAAAGTTTCTCACTTTGTTTGTTTGTTTATAGGGGGTAATCATGAAAATTCTTTCACCTACGGGAAGCTAAATCATACGCGGGTGACATAGGCTATAATTCGCGGGGGGGGAAGTCGCGGGAAAGCAGCTAATCTGATATTTACCTGCTCAATTCACAGGCAATGCGACCCTTCAGCTCTATAACATCAGCAGCTGTGCAGTATCCCATCCGCCTGAGGACTCGTTTCCTCTTCTTCAGTTCGTCCATTTGCAATACACTTTTAGCCTTCTTCAACTCTGCCTTTGCTAAATTCAGTTCCTCGTATAACTCTTGCTTCTTCTCATAGGCGGCGGTGAGAGCGGCTCGATTTTTATCATTATGTAGGGGATGGGCGTATAATCTAAGATTTAACAGACATAAAAATACAGTACACGCTACATTCACGGGGAATAATTTATAAATCTTCAGTCTTCACTATGAAATAAATTTTACATTGTCACCTAATAATCTTAATACAAACAGCGCCATCTAAGAATCTGCTTTATAATAAATAAGCAGCTGTTTACAACTAATCTGGCAAATGCAGAAATGTTTCTGTCGAAGTGTTTGCTATAAATGATTCTAACTTTGTTCGTTTGTAGGGGGTAATCTTCGACAAACCTGAAACGATCTTAAAAATTCTTTCACCTAGGAAAGCCACATCATACGTGGATGACATAGACTATATTTTTCGCGGGCGAAGTCGCGGGAATATGAGTATTCAAATAAGGTTATGATAAAGATTTACATACCTTTCTTCTAATTGCTTTATCCTGTCAACGCACTCTTTAAACACATTGTCCTCTATCTTCATATCTTTTATCGGGTTGAGTAAAGGTGGTCCTTCTGGGAACCGTTTCTTTACTTCGCCTATTGTTTTCAAAACCGATTTACGGTTATCAGCGGGTCTTAAATCTTTAGGATAGTATACTCGCAATGAGCTTATTTGATATATGAGAGTATGAAGAACGGGAACCACTTCTACATCTCCCGCCTGCGGACAAAATCCAGTGTTTTAAAGAAAACTAATTCTTATTACAATAAGAATTATACATATAACCTATACTATAGCACATATATTATAATAATAGCTAGAGTAGTTGCAAAAATGTTGGAAAGGAAAAGTAAACGTAATATCTATCGCCATATAGATAAGAATTAAGAACTAAATTCACAGTAAAACTATTTTCGATATATGAACATCAAGTGACCACAGGAATGAATAGAATTTATGTATTTGTGTAACATTTCTATCACGAGCACAGCAGCATATGTAGTTAACTTTTTTTTAACGTCAAATGTCAAATTTAATTATTAAGTAGAGTAGTAAGTAAGCAAAGAGTAAAGTGATAATTAGAAAGAGTTATCCATTAATACATCATTACAAAAGACAAAATATTCGACAAATATTGTTTTATTAACTACATGTGCTAGTGCTGCCATCTACGCCAAATATGTACTTTTTATTAATTATAATGTTAATTATAATGTGCATGACATGAATGAAATCTACAGTAGGACGAGTATTCACTCTTTTCTTAAGGCCATCTAGCATCTGTTTACGTTCCCATACAAATACGCAAACAAATACGCATCGAGAGTGAAGATACGCTCTGATGATTTCAAACATTTTTAATCACAGAAAAAAAAGAACAAAATGCAGTTACAAAAGATTACCTATATTATATTTTAGATTATATCCAAACCTATTTTTGTATATATTTTTTATACAATTAAGACGAAAAATACTAGTCGTAAAAGCTATTTAGTTTACCTTAGTCTACCTTATATAATTTCGTACAATCTCGCCTTAAGTAGGTTTGGGTTATGATATAGAGTATTATAAAGCGTCGGGAATATAGAGCCTTTGGGTAATCCCTTACTGTCTAATATTAAAAAGTATGTGATCTCTTTGGTTGTTAAATGTTTATAAAGATAGTAGAATACATACCTCGCCAACTGGACACGGCACGTTGGTATCTGCCTCGTGTTCATCAGCTTTCTTGACGTGCAACAATATATCTACGATAATAGCGGGCTCTGCAGTTAATGGGTTAGGGTCTTTACCCTTTTTGCCTCTGTCCATCTTATGTCGGAAATTCACTATAATACCCCAGTCATATTCGTACTTCTCTGTTTTCACCTATGCATAAAAAGGTTAGTAAGTATTTTTATAGATTCTACAGAATATTCAGAAACACTTATTTAGCTTTATTTAAATTAATCATTATTTCATAATTCACATTACACTATTTTTGTTTAAAAAGGATGGTTTTTGGAGACGGAACATAGACTATATTTGCTGACTGTACTTTTCTCCCAAAATCTTCTAGAATGTTTGTATATACATTGAAAATGAGTATTCCTAATAATTAAGTAAATTATATCAAACATACATATTTTATTGATTTTTTTAATACCTAAATTTAAAGTTAAGTTTTAAATTATCATATTTTATCTATTTTGCATTCACAATGCTATATTGGAAAATATTAAATATTAATGTATTCTTAAAAAATCCACTTTGTTCATGGTGGATTGCCTGAACATTGATGAAAATACGCTCCGTCTGGGTAGTTCAGTAGTAAGAGCAGTCGCCCAGATTGCGAAAGGTCGTGGGTTCATACCCCATCTCAGAGTACCAGGTTCAAATGGATTTTTATGCATTTTTCATTAAATAAATCAACTTTTACAACTCAGGTTGTCGAGCGAGGTCCCTGCAACAGGGAGAGCCTTAAACCGCCCGCCAGTCAAAGGTGAGTTATTATATTCTGACACTTTCTCTGAACCCTGTATAAATATGTCTTACTAGCTGTCCGCTCGTGGCCCTTAGTAGTATCCGTTTTAGCCTATATTTAGTGATAAAAACTACCTTAAGTCTTTTCCCTTGAGAACCTTGTTCCACACCTTGTTGTTAAGCCGTGAAAACGTAAAAAACACACATACAAAGAGATCTTTATCGAATAATTATATTATAAAGGTTAGCCTTAGGTATATAGTTTTTGACAATGGTTTGATTCCCGGTCAGATCAATGTAGAAAATGGGCTTTTCTAAATTTTCTCGGATCTGGGTGTTGCGTTACCTTCATTATCTCAGGTACTCCATAATACAGAGGCTATAGCTGCTAATCTTGGAATCTGAGCAATGTATGTTATGTTGTCTAATAATTATTTGTTTAGTTGTATCTAAATTTTCCCAATAAATTTATAAATTAAACCGATTAAATCGCTACTTGGTACCCACTAAGCCCGCCATTGATGACCATTGTTTCGTTCCACTATCACACCCACCTTCACGAGTCTGCCGGGTTGCAGGAAGGGCTTGAGGTATTCAGGTTTAGTGATGAACGCACGAAACTGCGTGCCCAATATATCGAGTTGCGAACGGATACTGCAATAAGATGCTATGGAATGTTCGCTCTCCACCGTCAGGGCGTTGTACTCTTTTTGTTTCGCTTTCACTTCTATTCAGAACAAACGGAATATAAATCGTTTAATTTTCATTATATTTTAATACAGGTTCTTAATTTATTTAAATATTTGGATTAAAAAAAAAAGAAATTACATTCATTGAAAATAATTAATCGGAAGTGGGGTGTTACGTTTAAAAATCTTTGATATCTTAACAGATTTATTAATTATCACATCCGTCGCCACACATTGTAGAGACTTCTAAAACTTTCACGTGTTTGTAATTTAATCTTTTGAAAACTCTTAACTCTTAAAGAAGTCTTTATAAGACACCTTTATACGGGTATAACAGTTTTTCTAACTGTACTTACTATCAATCAAGTCCGGAATAGCCGCTTGATTTTGGAACTGGTAAAAGCTTCTTTCCAACATGTATTCAGGATTGATTTCCTCCACTCTCAACAAGTTCAAAACCTGACAAAATCGATATCATTATATCAATTAAAATTCATATTTTTAGAGAAGTAAAAACAAAATTAAAATCAATTGTAAACAAACCATATTGTATGTGAGATGGAAAGCAGAATTTATAGGGTCAGCTTTCCCCTGCACCATACCCTTAACGATAGTGGGCGTGACCTTCTGATCTATCATAAGTATAACAATACCCTTGTCATCCAATCCACGACGTCCGGCGCGACCAGACATCTGTATATACTCTCCTGATGATATCTATAAAATCCAATATAATATCACAGATATTAGAATACTAAACTGTCACTAAATATTACAATCAACACTTTTAGGGTTCCGTATCAAAGAGTAAAACGGGTACCCTAAAACTAACACTTCGATGTCTGTCTGTCTGTCACCACGCTGTATCTTATAAACCGTGAAAATTAGACAGTTGAAATTATCACAGATGATGTATTCCTGTTTCCGCTTCAACAACAAATACTAAAAGCCAGAATAAAATAAATATTTAAGAGGGCTTCCCTACAACAAACGTGATTTTTTTGCTTGATATTAATAATGATAACAGGTAGACGCTTGAAATATTTACAGAATATGTATTGTTGGTATGCTCGACAAAATTAGAAAAGTTTATATCGTTATTAATCAGTTTTATTTACTTGTTAAAAAAAAACAACTTACGATCAACATATCTTTCTACAACGCAGTAAGCGGAACATGGGAAGGGTACAGACAACTTATCAATTAGAGTTCTTTACACCACAGAGTATACAGAACAAAATCATATCCCTTAACAAGTATTTATATAGTAAATTTACAAATAAATAATTGAATGAATAAACGCAACATCTGAATGCCATAGTGGTGTCCTTGTAATTATGATAGTCATTTTTAAAAATATTTTATTCCATCGAATTTTTATATATTAAAATCAAATTTCTCACATGGCTATTCAATATTTTTATCCATGATGTAGAATAGTGTTACCAACATTCTAATCTGTACATGTTTACAGATGTCATAAAAGCTACTAAAACAATAACAAATTATAGATATTTTTAATTGCAATGCCCTCCTATAAATAATGGGACACTTACAATAAACCTTAATGGTGTAATTTTAAGGGTAGCTTAAGTCTACTCATTGTTGTGAGAGCCTAATAGATAAATAAATATTAAAACAATAATCTCTTCCAGTACTATTATGCTATAAAAAAAACAGTAACTTACATATCGAAAATCTTTTCCATCGAATTTCTGGCAACTTGTGAACACAACGGTTCTGGCAGGCATATTCAATCCCATCGCAAACGTCTCAGTTGCAAATAAAGCCTAAAATTAATAATAATAAGACATAAATTCACATTTTATTTTTACATTATGAGTATATCCAATATTAACTCAAGATACATGTTACCTTAACTTATCATAAATGCAATTATAAAACTAAAAATATTCTTTAGAAAGGTGTGCTATTACATGGTAACACTTACTTCACTACAAAAGTACCTGCTCATTGAGCAACGAGAAATTCAAATTCAATTAAAATTGTTTATTTGTTAAGAACATTGCCAATAAAACAGTTATTCAATTGTAAGCTCATGACAATCTCGAGTAGTTTAAAACCATTCTATTCATAGAAGATAAAAGCGATAACAACCTTAATAAGACTAGTGTAATAGTTTTTACAATTGATAGCTTGCTTCTATTGGTATGAAAATGATTTTTTTCAGGTTTATTCATATACACATTTTTAATTTTAACCTTCTGACATACCTTTATAAGACCCAGACCAAACAAAATCTCTATGGTCTCCTTGAGTATGGGCAGCAGACCACCGTGATGGATGCCGATGCCACGTCTCAGCAGTGGTATCACATTTTCCACCTGTGGCAATTTACGATCCTCCTCTGACAATACATCCATCGCATTGTTGAACACTTCGTCCACCAATCTCTTCTCTTCAACTGGAAATAACAAAAGTGAATTTATATCATTATATCTATATAGGGACATGTTATAAGGAAAGACAACTTGCATGTGATAAGAAAATGTTATAATTAGGTAATCTTGTGCGTGCATGTATATCGTTACCATGGTTGATTATGTTTATGCACACGTTTTACACGCGTTACGGTCAGGAGGGTGTCATAACCAGAGGTCGGAATTAGGTAGAGTTATTTATGTACTTGCATCGAAATGTTGATATTAATGTGGACCTTCCCGGGATTTCTAATGGACAATTTCTAATTCTTTGGACATCCGATGTCATTGATATAAGTTTGGCAACGTCGTGCGTGCAGTAGTTTAAATTGTGTAAAAGTAAATAACTTTTTATTTAAAAAATCACGGGATTTTTTCTGCTCTTTAAAATTAATCTCGGGATTTGAGGCATATCCACTTTATTCTTTCGCTGTATGAAATCAGTGTAAGTACATGAATAACTCTACCTAATTCCGACCACTGGTCATAACATATGAAGGGAAAAGCAGAGAGAATGTCGACCAACATAGATATAATCCTGGTTATGAAAAGAAGAATAGAGTAATATGCCTATACCAAATAAATATATGAACGGAAAGGATAAGTTCATTGGTATTAACTACAGATTAATTTTGATGTTTAAAGTCAATGTGTAACTAGCTGATATTCACACCTCAAGGAAATAAATTTCAGGTACACCATTTTACATGGTAGCAGCAGTTTATTGATATTTGGGTGCTTTTGTATTTGCAATGAATCCTATGAAGTCGATTGGGTTACGAAATAGGTCTACAAGACAGTAAAATAACGAGGCTGTATATATCAAAGCAAAACCAAACTCACTAGTGTTGAAGTCCAATTTTGCCATCTGCATGGCATAGACCTCACAGTCCTTCTTGCTAAAACTGAATATAATGACTGGCGCAAAATTTCTCTCCATTATCATTTTGACAATATTGAAAATGTTTGTTGAGTTTTTGCCGGTGACACCACCACGGCGACCTCTTTGGTCACCCTTACCAGCATCACCGGCGTTACTCAGCACTGCCATAGCAGTATTGAAATTGTCCTCTTTAAATATGCCCTGAAATTAGAAGCTTTCATGAATCTGATTGGGTCCAAATCAAGAATAAATAATTTATAAACAGCAGCCTAACCTTTTCGTCAACAACTAAGTGTATACCGTCACCACCTGCAGGAAAAATATAGTGTTGCAGAGGCGTAGGTCGATACTCTGTGTAAACTACGTGACATGGCTGCGAGTGTAGTCTGCACACCCACTCTGCAAACTGTCGAGCGTTGGGGATAGTTGCAGATAGAAACACATAGTGCACATTGTCCGGCAGAAGAATAAGGGTTTCTGTTAAATGAAAGTATGTTTCAAACTTATGAAAACTTAATAAAATATAAATTCAACATTCCAATGGGAGTTATTCTATTTCATTAATTTTGCATTTACCAAAAAAAATATTTTAAATAAAAAATACTGTCAATTCTTAATGAAAAATGCTTTAAAAGTCCACTTTGTCCCTGGACTCGAACCCATGAACTCAGTGGTTAGACCATTCCCGAGTGACTACTCTAACCACTGAGTTACCCAAGTCCTAACAGGACTGATGAATTTTTCAAGCACTTGTTACGTTTTCGCTACTTCAGAGCGTATTTTACAGAAAGATGAAAATTTTGTTCTAACTATTATATTTGATCCGGGCGACCACCCAGATTGCGAAAGGTTCAATATTCCAATAGATCATAAAATGTTAGATTGTTTGAAACGGGTATTAACGCGATAGATTGATAGTTAGGTTTTTCACCTACCTTTATTTCCCGCAGTTTCGACCGGGTCACACCGGCCGTGGTCACGGGCTGACTGTTGCTGCAATGCTCCGTCTCCTCCTCTGAAGTGGAATCTACTTCCACCAACCAGTTTTTTCCCCAGGTATCATCACATATAAACACTAACAGATTCCCTAATCTGTATCGCAGCCGTATTATTCCGGCAACCGCGAAAAGTTTTTTATCACTGGATTCCAACTAACGTTAACAAACCCATGAACATCGTCACGATTGAAATTGCTGGGATGTTTTTTAATTTCAATCGCCTCACGCACAATTCGCGTATAGAAATGGCGATCCGCGGAAAGTACCCGTGAACGATGGAATTCAATCCAATGGTTTGTGCCACTTTCCAGTAGATGTTCTGCGATCGCCGATTTAACTGACGGTTTTTTACAGCTGTGATGTGTTTACGGACTCTCTCAGTTATAGTTCGTTTCGTCTGACCAATGTAACAATGACTACAACTGCACTCAATCTTATACACGCCGGGTGTTTGTAAGGGTAAAACATCCTTCGGCGTTCCCACGATACTATTTACCTTTAAGCCAGGAGCATACTGTCGACACAGAGTAATCACGTAGTACGTGGCCAATCTTATCCGTTATTCCTTTGACATAAGGCATATACGCTGGTTGTCTTTTAACCTCGGGATGTCTACTCTTTCTTTAGTCTCGCCTGCTTCCATCGTCCGTGCACTTGATATCCATTTTTCTTCAGTACCTCCTGAATATGTTGTAGTAGAAGATCTATCTCTCGTTCACTGCCTTTGATGATACAGAATATGTCGTCCACATACCTCTTCCAAAGCCATATGATGGATGGCTTAAAATTCAGAACATTTATTTCAAGATGTTCCATCCATATATCAGCAAGTACCGGGGCTACTGGACGTCCCATGGCGACACCGTCTATTTGGAGGTAGTACTGGCCTTGGAAAAGGAAATAGTTCCCTTGTAAGCAGTTTTTCAAGAGATCAATCAATATAATTGAGAGGCATCTCTTCATCTATCAGAATTTCTTTCACCACTTCTAGACACTCTCTAATTGGAACATTACTGAAAAGTGACTCAACGTCAAAACTCACCATAACCTCACCTGGTTCTGACGTGAGGCTCATTATGATCTCCACAAAATGATGAGAGTCCATGACGATGTTTTTCCCATAAACAGCCGCATTACTAAGGCGACATGTTTGGCCAAGTCGTAAAGTAGGAGAAAAAACTTGACTTACGATTAGCCGGATAGGCACCTCGACTTGTGCACTTTCGACAGGCCATACATTTTCGGTGATTGGTGTGGTTTCGGTCTGTGCAGATTCTCGTACTCATCTTCCGTGTTACCCGGTCGAAATGTCGGGAAATACAGGTAGGTGAAAAACTTAACTATCAATCTATCGCATTAATACCCGTTTCAAACAATCTAATTTAATGCAACGCGAAAGTTTATAGATCATAAAATGGCTTACCTTCCCATACAACTCCACGCTCTTTGTCTCTCATGTAGTGAATCTCGTCAAAGACAACCCAACCCACTTCTCGCATTATTTCAGAACCTCTGTATAACATATTTCTTAAAATCTGAAATATTATAAAACGAAAAAATTAAATGGCTGTTTGCATTCTTATGTGACAAGAGTTATTGTAAGGTTATACAAATATTTGTACAAGAATAATAAATAGTACCATATGATGTCAGAAACCATAAAAACCAGCATACATATATGAAAAAAGTGTAATGAATGTTCTGGAAGCAAAAGACGTGAGCAAGAACTGTGGTGTTTAGTTATCTCTGCTTATGCTGCAAAAGATCTATCATGAAAATATAGATAGTTTTTCTATGTTGTATAAGTTTTTTATATATAAGTATGATTACATAATCATAATTTTCTTTGCAAGTCTCCATAACTACGTCATCACAAGTAGTAAGTCATTACTATATTTTTCCGTTACTATCTCTCATATTTGATCCCTTGTGCTATCAGAAAATGTGACACTATTAGAGTATCAAAAAAGTCTGCTAACTTTTATGGGTACATGGCTTTTCATATGAATTTTTATTATACCTCTGTGGTCATGATGAGACAAGAAGCTGAAGGATTGATTGTGACATCACCAGTAATAAGACCCACATCATGAAATTCTTCTGAGAATTCTCTGTATTTTTGATTAGACAGGGCTTTTATTGGAGTGGTATATATCACCCTCTGTTTGTTTTTCAATGATAAAGCTATGGCATACCTAAATAAAAATATTAGTTTGTTAAAATTAAGAAATCAATATGACATATGTGTAATAATAACATATTTTAATTACAAAAGTACATTGTTTATAATAGTAAATGATATTACAATAAAAAAAGGTAGATAGGTTACTTGAATTCGAAAAGTGTCTCCTTAAAATTATGCTAATTAGCATACTTGAGCGCAGTCTGGCGAAAGCGTTGATTGGGAGCATTTATGTACCATAATAATGCTATGATATGTGAAACTGTGGAAACAACATAAGTAAGTCATCTAAAGACCATTTCATCACACATTTCATTCATAAGTATAAATTAATTAAAAAAAAAAAAAATAAGTCACAAAAAAGAAAGAGTAAATAATGTGGCCACAAACTGAGAAAAGATCTGTCAAAGATTATGTAAGTAACAGTACGCAGAATTCGTCTTTGGTGCCTACGCTCTACCTTACATTTATTTACAAATCTGTATGAGACTGATTTTTGACATCGTATTACTACTGACATGACCTATCTCCTTTTTTTATTTTAATATCATTGATAATAGTAAATAAATATGCCGCTACACAAATAAAATGTTGTAACTAAATATGTGGTAATTAAAAATGATGTAAGTAGTTATCACATTTAGTTAGCTATATTTTAGGTTGAAACTGAAATGAAACCTAAAACTTTTTTCAAAAAAGATTACAAAGATAATAGTGAAATTATTACACCATATAGTATATGGCAAAGTATACACACATATAGTACACAAATGTATTTCTATATTTCTTAGAATACAATACAATGTAACAACATTAAATTAAACCCTTTCTTATATTTAGCTAGTTTGGTTTATTAATTCATCGCATACATTGTACAGGTACCAAATTAAGTAGCTTAAGGTACCACAACACCTGAAACAAACCAGAAATAGAGGTTTGATCCTCAGAGCTGGCAATAACTTTGAACTTGTAGTAAGTCAGCCACAGAGGTCAATACTTTATAAAGTGATGTACAATTCATTGTTTAATACTTACTCAGCTACAACAGTTTTTCCTGCTGACGTATGAGCTGACACCAATACCGATTGTAGATTGTTAATACACAATATAGCTTCCTTCTGAAATGGATCCAGAATGAAACTATACTGTTTGGCAGGCTCACCAGATATAGGAATTAGAGATGCATAATCATGATTTGGTGGTATTGCCACTTCATGTGTACAGCCTTCATGTGTTTCTAATGTGTGAATGACGATTCGTGAACTCAATAAATCTACACTGCAATATTAAAGTTTAATATTAGAATTTTCTATTTTATGTAAAAAAAAAGTTCTGCAACTTAAAATTTTAATATTCATCAATGAAAACCATAAAGAAACTTACTTTATATCACTAATGAGTTCAGTTTCATCATCTTGCTGTTTAGATTTTTTGCACTGTGCAGTATCGGCATATTCCACCTCTTCATGTGGCCTTTTACTCGAAGTACTACTTTCAGCTGGTATCACACTATAAAAAATACATATAACTGATCATGATTTCGCTATAGGTGGAGTGCTTGTTACAGAGACACACAAACAGACACAAGACTAGAGAGATCACACCGTAACGTCTCAACATGCTTTTCAAGTTGTACTTGATGACAACAAAAACAAAATCATAACGCAAATATAAAATCAAGGTAGGGTTAATAAGAGCATAAGTTTTATCATTTGTTACAAATTTGTTACGAGCTTAAAAGTCCATTATTTTGATAAATAGGTTAATTTTAGTAGGAGATACGTACGGATTATCATCATTTTTCAAATTTGGAAACTGTACCGCTGCTTCATTTTGTGCTGGTTCATCAAAACAATCGAATAAACTATCAATATCTGCCATTCTGTAAATATTTATTCACAAATAAAAGTTTTTTTAAAAATCAGATTGAACGAACATTATTCTTCTTTTTTTAAATAATAACGTTGCCCTTGTGGAATTGTGGATTTCACCCACATTTCACCACAATCAAAATTGACATTAGTTTTTCTTTTTTTAATTTTTCCGTAAAGGAAAGACAAAGAGAGCTTAGCCCATACAGCCATGCCATATTAAAAAACTAACTTTTATAGTCAATGACATTGACTATAAAAGTTTTGAATACTTATGACATAATAGATTTGCAAATTTGAGTTTTTAATGCATTCACTAGCGAAAGTGAAGACCCATTCACGTTTTCAATCGAATACACGAGTCATCTTTTTGACATAAGTTAAAATAATCTTTGGTGAATATCACAAACGCAAGTAAAAACTTCTCACTTGGATTTTTAAAGTGAGAGGCGAGTGAAGCTATCAAATTTTACTTATTTGTACGGCGACTTGTGTTAAAACATTGTTTTGCAAAAATAACTTAACTGGTTCCTTGTTCAAATACATTCTAAATAGAATCAACAAAATTATGGCCGAGCGGATATTTTTAGCGTGAACGATGTTCATAACATCAAAAGCTGGAAATAACTAATATTAGACTGATGATCAAGATTTGTTTGCTTTTTAATTAAATTAAATAAAAATTACTGTGATATATAAACCAAAAAGAACAAGCCCATAAAACCTAGCCTTCAGTAAAATATAAAATAACACTTACGGCTGGTTAAAAAAGCACAACATCACAACTGATTATTCTCAATAACTTAAGTTTTATACGTTTCATATAGCAAAAAGTCTTAGTTTTATCAAATCACTATCAACTGATCATTAAAAAATCATAAATTGGACGTTTAAAATGGCTTAAGCACGGTTTGAGACTGTTCAACTTCAGATTCGCAATTCTGAAAAACTAAACCAAAAAGAAGTATAAAAATCAAAGCAAAAATGACTTAAGAATGATGTGACTCTCTAAGCTCGTTTCGGCGTTATTCCGCATAAGAAATGTAATAAGTTCTATATACCAATTATTAATGAAGATGATTTTCATTATCCTTATTTATTTTCAGAATAGAAAACTCAATTTTTAAATTACTTGTATACACCAATATCTATTTTTTTAGAAAACGGCAACACTTTTTATGACTCAATGGTCACGTGATCGCACGAAGCTTGGGTTTGTGATTTGATTGGCGAGTTTTCGTTGATTTCTTCCGAGAAATACGCTTGTCTTGAGCTAAGCTCGCGTGGTATTGACTAGTGTTTGTATTATTTTTTTTCGTGACTGAAAAACTTCTCGAAATGTCATCGAAAACTAAAAAAACTGTAACATCTTCTACAAACATAAGTGTGGTGTCGTCAGTGCAAAGCCCACAGCAATCAAGCACTCCTGTTGGTAGCCGCCCTTCTAGCTCCGCCGGCCGGCCCAGCAGCCCTCTAAGTCCAACAAGACACACTCGTCTACAAGAAAAAGATGCACTACAAAATCTCAATGACCGCTTGGCAGCCTACATTGATAAAGTTCGTCAGCTTGAAAGTGAGAATTCAGGATTACGCCGGGAAATCCAAACTACACAGGAGGTGGTCACACGTGAAGTTTCCAATATCAAAGGAATGTACGAACATGAACTTCAAGATGCCAGGAAACTATTAGACGATACGTCTAGAGAAAAAGCTAAAGTAGAGATTGATTTGAAGAGACTTTATGAAGAAAATGATGACCTGAAGAAGCGGTATGTTTAATTTTGATTACAAGCCCATCGCTACTTTAATTTTCATAATATATTAAAAACGTTAATATTATGTAGGTCTGGGTAAAACTCTTGCAATCGTTTTAAATTCCTTCCGGTTAACCTTAACTATAAGTTTACGTCATCGATGTGTTTTAGAACGCTGACGGTGACGAGTGCGCGCGACCTCGCATTTACGACACAGTGACATCATAGCTAGAATTAAACCAAATCAAATCCGATTATGTACAAGACACAAAAGACAATAATATTTACACTTGTACAAATAATAGTAAATCAAATGCCTGTAAATATATTTTAGGTATTTGATATTTCTAAATTCATTACAGTGTTTACAAATCATCAATAATACGTTTTATTCAAAACTTGTTTTAAACAAACTTTACTAATAAGGTTTTAAAAACAATGCTCTTATCTATATTTGAAACTGAAAGCACAAAAACACATCCTAGATGCAAAAGATATAAAAATAATGTATGTAGATGTGAATGTTTACATTACTGAAATAATGTCAAGGTGAACATTTTATCTGTGTTACAAATTTTTACAATTCAAGCCAATTCACTGATTCTATCATCTTTAATTCTGTCTACTGTACACATACCTACATGAGTAGATTTCTTAACTTTAAAATTAAAACCTAGACTATATTTTTTACAGACCATAAATAGTTTCTATTAATTCAAACAAATAATTTTCTTTAATGAGTAGCAAGCAACTTCCTCTTCTTGAATTAATTTAGTCTAAGTTTAATGTTTTCCTAATTTGTTTTTTTTTCTTCAATCTTAACATGTTATATAAGAATTTTATGTATGCTTGTAAAGACTTACATATCAATCTGTCTGTTTTTAAATACATATATTATTGTCAAATACTTCTAGCTGTAAGCATACCATATATCCATTTTGAATTCACACTGCTATACTGAAGAATATTTTTAATGAAAATGTTTTAAAAATTGAAGTAGTAAAAATAAGATATTTTTACCTGTTACCCAATACTCAAATAAATCACAAAATAGACAAAACATACAGTAGAACAACAATTGCAGTCTACACAAATGAACATAGACCTTAATTTAATCTATATTAAGAAGCATTTGCTATATTTTAATAATTTCTTATCCAATATACATAATTATCTATATGCTTAAAAGTTTTAAATTATACTCTATATAATTGACATTTTTCACAAGGTACCCTTAATAATACTGACAATTTCAAAGCTTAAATACCATCAACTGATTATTGTACTTAATATTTATTTATTTATTTTACAAGAAACAGGAAATATTTACATATTGATAAACATTTTTTTTTATTCAGTTAACCTCCAATACCTCCTTCATATCTTATGAAAATAATTATAAAATTTGCTTAAAAAAAATTTACAAGGTTATTTTTCTGGAGGTGACTAATGTAATTGGTTAATCTTCAGTGTTTGCTTAAGCATTACAGTTCAGGATATCAAGATAGAAAGTATACAAAGTTTGTTTTGATATCCTTGACAACTTACCTTGAAAAATGTAAAAAAAAAAGAATCTTGTCCCTTAATCCCTATCAAACCTTCAAATTTCTGAAACCTTCATATAAAATTTATTGATCTGAAATTTTTTAAGAAATTAGTAATATATAAGTGATATTGTACTATGATGGCTAATCCAATTCTAATTATAGTTAGAGGATAACTGTATCTATATGCATATACTAAAACGGGTTAATATCAATGATTGAGATAATATTTGTTTAAAAAAAATATGGCAATTTAAAAGCAGCACAACAAAAAAATCAATGATGTTGACAACAAAATCACTAAAATGAAGATTCTATTGAGTAACTTTTAAAATGTATACATTGCAAAGGTGGGTGACCCTGAAATCATCTCAATGTCTGTCAACTCTATATGGCCAGTTAGTAATTTACCTTGTCCACCATTTATGACTCTTTTGAACTTGGCCGATTATCTACCTGTGATAATTTTTTTCAGAATAACACGTTCATAATCTTTTTAAAGCTATTTATCTATGAAATAAAGATTAAAAATGTATGTTTGCTAAAAAGTTATTTTAAAATTGTAGGTATATTTATAGTATTCTTTATTATTTTGATTATTAATATTTATACTTTCATCCTTTTATTATAAAACTACATTTGGCTTACTTTGTAAGGCTAGAAGTTTTACCGCGAATTCGCCCGCGTAAATTATAGTGTATGTCTCCCGCTATTTTCACTAACGGAGTTATACACACGTTTTATTTTTCATCACGTCATATCCTACCTATATCCTATGCTGTTAAGCAAGTGATAAACCAAATAATATATCGCCATTTTTACACGCACGACTGTAACTTATCTACACTAATATTCTAGCTTTGTTTGTTTGATTTTTCAAAGGGGGTAATCTTCAGAAATACTGATCCGATCATAAAAATTCATACTACGGGAAGCTACATACACAGGAGACAGGCTATAATTTACGCGGGCGCGGGAAAACAGCAGTAATTTAATAAAAAGGTTCTCGGAAAAATCGGAATGAGTTTTGCAACACCTTAAAATTCTTCATTATATTATATACACTTAAACCATCATCGTGAATTACTCTGTCCAAGAATGAAAATTAATTGGAAGTTAGTTCATTTTAAGTTTTATCGCATATCAAACAGACAAGCACGGAATGAAGGTAGGTATTTTATTTTATAGTAATTTGAGGATGTTACATCCTCCAAGAAACCGTCAGAAACTTGTTTTTATCGAAGAAGTGAGTATAAAAATACTGTAGAGAATTATATTTTAAATGATGAAAAAAAAATGCTTTCTTCGTCGTAGAACTCCACGCGTGGGTTTTTATTTTAATCTTAAACTTGGCTTTGGTGACATCATCATCATTGGTATTCCGAGTATGCTACCTCGATCGTTTCGACTAATATTAGGTGCTTACTTAATCTGTTCTTATATTGACGACGCCGAGGTGTCGTCAGCGTATTACGTCCCACTTAAATAAAAATCATTATTTGCGTAATAAACACCACACGGCTAGCTAACATATTAATGTCCAGAGAATTTATTAGAGCATATAGGGCGTATCGTCGTTTATTTTTTATTTTTGGCAGTGGTGTTCGTGTCCTGGAAAGTAGGTCATTACACTTCCTCTTTCTTTTCTAATTGTCGTTGATCACGAATTTATCTATCGTAAATATAAATGGGCCAAGGCTGGAAGTCAAGGCGGTCCCCACGAAACATACGACACGTACGTACCCTAGTATAATGGACAGTTTACACAAGGCCAGCAGCCGAGACAGTCCAGTAAGCCAGGCCAGTTTTGACTTCGTGAAATGGAGACAATCTTAAAGGCAGTCCATTAAATAGAACGATTTCTATTTTTACTGGACTGGCTTACTGAATTGTCTTGGCTATTCTTGGCCTCCTGTAAATGGTCCATTAGGAATCTGCAGGCCTTCCGCGTTACTGCATTGGCTTCGATTTGGTTAGGTGCTGCATTAATCAGAACTAACTCGACGTTAAATACTGTAATAAACAGTGCATACATTCAATACAGAGGGTTGAATCATATTTCAACCAAAACGAAGCCAATAAAGCGGGTAACGTCAGCACACACGGCCCGGGAACCGGATAGTAACATGTTTACAAAAACATTCCGTACTTATGCCGTTACGCAAGACCGCTCGCGTCTCGCTGGTAACATATTTTCGAGTTTTACCTCGAAACATGTCATGGCTACCAAATTTTGTCAATAATGCCGCTTATAGTTTTAAGAATGTACAATACGAAAACCGCTATGTAATTGTATTTTAAATTATTATTTAATCCGCTTGCTTTAACGCGAGGAAGGTCGTAGGTTCAAGTCCACAAAATAAAACGTCTGCACAAAATATTTGGATCAGTGTTTTATATAAAAAATGCACGATCGTCCATGATTGCAATACAATACAAACTTAGTCTGCTGAGTAAAATTTTGTATGCTTCCTTGTTCCATTTCATTAATTAAAGAGTATTGGCAAAACCGCAGAATAATCGTAACAAAAATCGAAATTGCTCAACAAATTCGTTGTGCAATCAAACATCTTTCTTACTGTGAACTGTATACGAAAATAGATTCCGCGACCGTTAAATTCTCCATGGGTGGGAACATGCAATACATAAGTTAAAAATGTCTATGATTAATATTTAGTTAAAACATGACATTAAGGGTAGTTTGGCAAAAACAGTATTATTAAATTCATATAAACAGTATCATTAAATTTATTATATATTATTTCTATATGTCGGCATCTTTTTTCATACCGACATATACAAATAATATATCTTATCATAATCCCATCGCTCGTATGTGTAGAAATTATAATGAGATCCTCCCAGTTTATCAGGCATTAGATATATTTAATGCCAATCTCTTTAAATTCAAAAAATGTATTAAAGAATTTGTGGTAGACCTAAATGTAGCATCGTTTTAATCATCCAAACTGATTTATATGTATTCTTTCTGCTTTTTTCATATTAGTAAAAAAAAAGCGGCATCCGCTCAAACTTAAATTGGTAATAACTTTTCCTGACATAAGTGAAATGAGTTTCCGAATGACGTAGGAATAGAATATCTGAGACGCGTATATTCAATCAATTTTGTTTTGTATTTAATACAAAAAATGGAATCAATAGAATTTCAACACTAGAAATTGTATTCGGACACATCAGTGAATTCTAATTCGAGTCAGGATTTTTAAAGAATCACAGGGCAGGGGGAAAGAAACCCCCACCATGACCACCCATTGGTGCTCCGCCCTTGATGTTAAGGTCGCAAAGTTTTTTTTTTTAAATTCGTGTTATAGTTTCTAATATTTTGAGCCTCTTATTATTATTTTTATGTATCTAAATATTCGTTTATATTATTTACAGCCTGGATAAAAAAACCAAGGACTGCCAGCAAGCAGAGAATTTGGCGCGTCATTACGAAACTCGCTTTACGGAAGAAACCAACAAATATAACTCTGCGCTCGCGGATAAGAAGAAAGCTCAAGATGAAGCTAGGGTACGTAATATTTGAGATCCTTTGTGATGATATTGTGAAAATATGTAATCATTGTCAATTAATTGACGTGATTATCAATATTATAACAAATTATTATAAGTGAAAACTCGCATCATATAACTAAATCAATTTCTTAAGGAAATTTTCTTTTGCGTTCCGATTGAATACATTTTTTTTTTAAAGACGGTAACAACGTATTGCTATCACAATTGTATACAGTATAATAAATTTAGTTATCTTAATAGTGGAAGCAAACCTAGTCGTATTTACTGACCAATATAAAATATATGTAACCAGGAACTGGCCAAAGAGTTGGAGAAATTACGCAAGGTATACGCCGATACCCGCAAGACCTTGGAAGAAGAAATGCTGTGTCGTATCGACATGGAGAACACGGTGCAGAGTCTGCGCGAGGAGCTCTCGTTCAAGGACCAAGTCTTCCAGCAGGAGCTGCAAGAGACACGTACACGAAGACAAGTCGAGATCTCTGAAATCGGTGAGATGAAAGGAACATATTTTAAATGACCTTTTAAAAGTTGCTACATAATAGCCTTTTGGAAATCGATTGGTATCCTTTATAATGATAATTGTGAAGTGATACTTCTTTTAAGAAAGCATAACTGATGTGTAGGAAGCGCAATGAAACAACCGATACGTAGTCTGGTTAGTTTATTACTGTCTGAGTGGAGCGCGCGCGCAGGCGACGCCTTTAATAACTTAAGGTGGCGGGTAGGTTACTATACATCATTCTCTCCACCCTTATTTTGAATTCTGGTAACAAAAGAAATTCTATTTTTTATATTATTCGTACAATTTAGAATAGGTACTTATTCTTAAAACTAAAACTTATAATTTACTTTTTTTCTGGGCCTTAATTGGCGAGTGTTGGACGCTTGGGGTATGACGTGGTTAGGCGGATCAGCCGGCGCCGGTGGATCAACCGGCGGCGGCGGATCAACCGGCGGCATCGGATCAATCTGCGGCGGCGCAGTTACCGGCGGCGGCGGCGGCATTATCTCCCGTTCAACATTAGCGAGTGAATCCGATGCACTCAATAACCCAGCCTCACGTCCCTCACCACTCTGATCGGGGCCATCTCTATTTCCTTCGCAACTAATTATATCACTAGTTTGAGCTGATAGTGGCATAGGTGCGTAGGTGTTGTGGACCCCCTTGGGCTCACTTCCTTCATTGTGTTGTGAAGACAATGGTTTAAGCAACTCACTTTCTATATTGGTGGTATTACCTGTATATTTTATTATTTGATTAATGTGTCTGATGCAAATATTATCTGTGTCATTCAATTTTACTTTAAACATTCTCTTCCCAACCATGCTTACAATAGTGCCTAATTGCCAAGTTTCTTTTCTGCCATTAAAACAACGTGTCCATACATATTCGCCGATTGCTATTTTTCTACAGTTTAATACACCTTTCTTTAAATCATTATTATGCCTAGAAATTAATTGATCTGACGGCAGTGACAGATCTAAACGGCATCTTAAGGACCGTCCGAACATTAACTTAGCGGGTGTTTCTCCCGTGACACAATGAACTGTATTTCTATAATCGAACAGATATCCTAATAATTTTTCTTGTACCATGTGCAGGGTTAAATGTTCACTTAAAATACATTTTAACATTTTTTTACATGTTCGAACGGCATTTTCGGCTTGCCCATTGCTACATGGATGATATATCGGAGATGTCATATGTTTTACACCATTACTGGAACAAAATTCATTGAATTCTACTGAATTTATTTTTACGTCATTATCCGAAACTATTGTCCTCGGTAGACCGAATATGGAAAACAATTGTTTTAATTTAACGATTAAGGCCCCCGTAGTAGTACCGTCTGACATATATATACAATCCAACCATTTACTATATGCATCTACCACCACCAAATAGTTTCTCTGTCCTACGGTCATGTAGTCGATGTGTATGCGATGCCACGGTGCTGCTGGCTGTGGCCAGGGGGCGGGGGGCGCGCGCGGCGGGTTCGGTCTCACTCGTGCGCACACGTCGCACGCGCCTATACACTGTTCTATATCTTTATCGATGCCCGGCCACCAGAACCTAGTACGCGCGTTATTTTTTGTTTTAATAATGCCTAAATGTGTAGAATGCAACTCCCGTAAAATACATTGAGTAAGTTCACTCGGAATTACTACCCTGTGCCCTCTTAATAAAACACCTTCTTCATATTGTAAATCGTTTTTACATAGGAAATAGGGCAAAATGGATCTACACGTAATTTTACGCGGCCATCCGTTATTCAGATAAGTAATAACAGTTTGTATGGTTTTATCACACGCGGTAGCTTGTTTTAAATAAGCAAGGGTTACAGCAGGAGATTTCGTATCTAGAAATTTCAACATGTATGATGTTTCAGTGTAATCAATTTCGCTTGTTCCTGAATGTACCGGCGCGCGGGAAAAAAAATCCGCTACCTCATTATTTTTACAAGGCGTATATTGAACTATATAATTGTATGCGGACAATATTATGGCATATCTTTGAAGTCTCAATGCCGTTGTGACTGATATACCCGTTGAACTATTAAATATAGAAACTAAAGGGCGATGATCAGTTTTTAATATAAATGGTTCACTACGGCCGTATAAGTATTGGTGAAAGTGTTTCACCCCGAATATTATTGCAGTCGCTTCCTTCTGGATTTGACTGTAATTACTTTCACTAGGCATTAGCGAGCGAGAAGCGTAAGCGAGTGGCCTCTCGATGCCGTCTGCAGCCCGCTGCGACAGCACCGCACCCAACCCTGTCGGTCCGGCGTCCACGGCCAGCACCAACTGCGCTGATGGTTCAAAGTGAGCCAATACTCGCTCGGAAGCAAGTTCCCTCTTTACTAGCTGCACCGCACGCTTTTGAGGCATGTCCCATCGCCATTCCGCGCCTTTACGAAGAAGCTCATGGAGCGGACTCATTAATGACGATGCGTTTGGAATAAAATTCCTATAATAATTAACGACACCTAAAAATCGCTTAACTTCACTTACGTTGGTGGGTTCTGGTGCTTTTAAAATAGCACTTACCTTATCCGGGTTTGTACGTAATCCATTTCTATCTATCAGGTAGCCCAGGTAAGTTATATTTTCTTTAAAAAAAATACATTTTTCTTTTTGTAGACGCAGACCGGCATCACTTAATCTTTTCAAAACTTCCCGAAGCCTGCTTAAATGAATACTAGTGTTCGGCCCCGTTACACAAATATCGTCTAACCAGCAACTAACGCCCTCTATCCCCGACAGAAGAGATTCCATTGATCTTTGAAAGATAGCCGGTGCGTTTGCTAATCCGTACACTAACCGCGTATATTTGAACAACCCTTTCGATGTTGTGATGGTAGTGAGCATTTGGCTCTCCTCACTAAGAACAAATTGGTTATATGCATTTTTTAGATCTATTTTAGTGTAACGGTCCCCTCCCCCTATCTTAGCGAATACCTCTTCTATGCGGGGTAGTGGATATTTCTCAATTACTAGGTCTCTATTCAGTGTAACAGAAAAATCGCCAGCTATTTTGACTCTTCCGTTTTCTTTAAGAACAGGCACTATTGGTGTGGCATATTGGGAATGAGTAACAGGAACTAAAATCCCTAATTTTACTAACCTATCCAACTCCTGTTCGACTTTATTTTTTAAAGCAAATGGTACGGTGCGGGGCTTAAAAAATTTTGGTGTTGAATTTTCTTTTAAATGCAATTGCACTTTAAACTTATTAAATGTTCCTAATTCGTCGCGCCATAATTCTGAATATTGTTCCAGCAGTGTTTGTACATTAATATCATTTTCTAACTTATTTATTCGCGTAGTCAATATTAAATTAAATAAAGACATAAAATCACGTCCTAATAATGGCGGTCCCCCGTTTTGTACTACATATATTTTAATGGGCTGTTTTTTACCGTTATATGTTATATGTGTATTAAAATAACCTATAGGTGATATCTTATGACCGTTATATAAGCACATTCTAATATAACATTGTTGTAATTTGTAATATGAAAATAATTGATCATACATTTTTTTTGAAATAACGGATGTACCCGCCCCGGAATCTAATTCCATCGATACAGATACGTTACCTAATTTAACAGTTAATTTAATTGGTTCATTAGTAACGTACCTTATATTAAAATTATGACACTCCGTACAGCATTCACTCATTTCGTCAACGTTGTCTAAGTTGTTAACACGCGTAAACATATTTTTCACACCGCACACTTTTTTTAGATGCCCTTTAACACCACATTTTTGACAACGGTAATTTTTAAAACGACACTGCTCACTATTATGATTCTTCATACCGCATACGCTGCAACGGAACGTTTCGTTCTGGAAACTTCTATACGTTGACGAGCGCGGCATATCTAACGCACGACGACGGCCACTACCGCTGCTGCTGGGACCTTCGCTTGTCGAACGAAAAATAGGTTCCTCCTTGAAGGTTACTCTTGCTTCTTTAAACAATATTTTTGCCTCCCTCGCACTCTCCGCTTGCTCTGCTATCTCCAGTGCTCGTGAAAGAGACAATTTAGAAGAATCTTGCTCGAATAATTTATCACGTTCATGACTTTCGCCCAGGCCTAGGACAAAGCGATCCGTAATGATTGCTTCTAAGGCGGCACCGAAGTCACAGTGGCTTGCTAAACCCCGTAATCTTGCCGCCCAGTCTCCTAAAGTTTCGCCCGGGCACCTTGTTGCTCCGTAAAACTTCGCCTTATCTGCATACGAACAACTCTTTGTCTTAAAATGTCCATCCAATAATTCTACCAATCGTATGTAACTTAAGGTGTCCACATTGCTCGGATACGCGATATTCCGTAACAGACGGTAGGAATCATCAGTTAAGTGAGTAATAAGAATCGCACTTTTATTTTCTTCTTTCACTTCATTGACCTTCAAAAACTGCGTCAATTTACTTTTGAATATCGGCCAGTCGCAACTTTTATGATCGAAGTTAGATAAATTTCCTAAGTACGACATTTTTTTCCTGATATTTATAAACGGTGGGTAAATATCCTCGTCGCCAATTGAAGTGTAGGAAGCGCAATGAAACAACCGATACGTAGTCTGGTTAGTTTATTACTGTCTGAGTGGAGCGCGCGCGCAGGCGACGCCTTTAATAACTTAAGGTGGCGGGTAGGTTACTATACATCAATAACTCTCAGTTATTTCGCCAAAAGTTTGATGAGATTATCAAACACTAGCTTTCCGCCAGGGAACTGTTTATTACAAATTGAATAGTAAACAATTACTGCTGTTATCATAGCATAGTTTTTCATACATATATTTTTGGTATCATATTTATTTGGTATCTTGAACCGTTTTCGCAGAGCACGCAACGGAAGCCCTCAAGGATGAATAATTTTCCCCGTTTTTTTTTCAAATTTTCCATTATTTCTTCGCTCCTAATAGTTGCAGCGTGATGTTATATAGCCTAAAGCCTTCCTCGATAAATGGTCTATTCAACACAAAAATAATTTTTCAATTCGAACCAGTAGTTCCAGAGATTAGCGCGTTCAAACAAACAAACTCTTCAGCTTTATAATATTAGTATAGATTAGGTTCATCTTGTTCTTCCTCCAGGGCAAATCTTTCCTACTGAATATAAATACTATTGATAACATTATAAAGCCAAATTACGGGCTCAGCTAATAAAAGTTGATACTTTCAGCAATGCTATTCTGTTAAAAACAGCCTAGAACTCGACGTCAAGCTCAGCGCCGTCATATCATAGACGTTCAATAACATAAAACCTAATTTAAAAGGTAATAAAGGATTTATTCGATTAAAGCTCTACGTCATTGCTTCTATTAGAGCTGGTGAGTTTCTTACTCGTTCTTCTTACCAGCCATAAGAGTAGGGCAAGTATTCAATTTCAACTAAAATCCTTTATTACACAGTTCTTGTTACTAGATCACTTAATGATAAATGTATCTATCACCATTGGTTTGTGAAAAAGACGTTGCACTAGTAATATTAGACTACAGGTAAAAGTACGAGATTCTTTTAAGATGCTTTTATTACGTAAAAGTTTGCAGAATTGAGGTGCTGAACAAGCGATATAAAAAAAATGTTAAAGAAACTAAAAATATTTTTTTAAGAAATTTATTTAAATTAAAACTCTTGATTTTGCTGTAACAGCACTGCGCTCGCTCGAATTATGTGCTGTTTAATAGAATAGCATAACTGGCCAGCAGTTCGGTAAACTAGATATTTTAGTCATCACGTGCAAGATACTATATGTATTATGTATTATTCATCCACTTTTAGGTAAAATACACTTAAAATTGGATTTATAAACATTACCTTTTATGACATTTAGATACCTACCTATGTTTTTCTTTGTTTGTACTTTGTCATCGCCGTTGTATCGATTGCGTGACCTCATCCGTCCAAGGGCGTACTGTCACGTTATCATAAACGATCTTAGAAGGTCGGGTGGACCTTTCTATATTTCATTAAATATACAGAACTAACTTTCTGCTAGCGGCTCCGCCCACGTGGTCCTTTATTATGATGTATATTCATGAAAACTTGATATTTATGATTATAGCTACTAAGTGACTAACATATTTATCAATTTACCCTGTAAAAAGGATATAAGGATAACTAGTTGTTTCCCTGCAACTTTGCCCTAAAATATAGCCTATGTTACCCGCGTATGATGTAACTTCCCATGGGTGTAAAGTTTTAAAATCGGTCCAGTAGTTTAGAAGTCTAATTGATGCAAAAAAACAACCACAAAACAATTTAAAAAATATCTTTTCCTTTTTACAATATTAGTATAGCTAAATCACTAAAATTATTGTGGCTTTTTAGATGGACGGCTCGCTCAGCAGTATGAGGCCAAACTACAGCAGAGTCTGCAAGAGCTTCGTGAACAACAAGAGGCCAACATTAAAGCCAACCGTGACGAAATCGAAGCCCTTTATGAAAATAAGGTAAACAATGAAAATATACTGTGTTTATCTATAACAATGTTTTTCAAACATTTTGAATACACAACCTCTCTGTTGGTGAAAAAAATTTGTCCACAACCCCTTTAGGTTTCAGAATGACAAAAAACTTGTAATATATTTAACAAAATACATTATAACTTTTTTGTCAAGGTAACTATTATTCGTTCATTAACATTTCAAAAATAGCATCACGATTCAATATTTTCTTGAATAAATAAACAAGTTCATTTTTCACAAAGATTGTGTTTAATTGAAACATTTCGTCAACCGTTTATCATGCTGGCTTCTTGTTAGTTAGCCTTATAAATAAATGTTTTTTTAGCTGAAGAATCTGCAAGCGGCGGCAAATCGCAACAGTTCTGCAGCCACGGTGGCAGTTGAGGAGCTGCGTACTATGCGCACACGCATCGACTCACTGAACTCTACACTCAATGATCTAGAGAATAAAAACGCAGCCCTAAGCGTAAGTACACATTTATTATTTATTTATTAATATCTTTTATTATTTATTTGATGACATATCATGATTCCTTCGTAATATCACTATTATTATTCCTAAGGAGTTTTTAATAAGGTTTAAGAATACAACATTAAATATATGCGTCAGTATTCATTTCTTATCGACTTAATACATAATAAAAGAAATCTTATGCAGTACAAAATCATCAATAGATTTATTTTAGGACTATCTGTGCTTTATTTTAATGAAAGAGTCGACATCTATCGTAAACTAGATGACCCCGTGTATATTGGTATCACTTCATTGTATAAACCTGCCCCTTTTTAAGAAAAAGGAAACCACACGCAATGTCTTTGACCCTTGTCAGATGAAAACAAATGTGTAACCAAAAAAAGGGTCTGGAAAAAACCTTCCCTGTACTACCACAAATATTTCAGTAAGTCGGCCCAGCTATTCTCGAGTTTAAGCGTGACAAACGAACAAATGATTTTAATTGAAAATTGTTTAGAATCGTTGCCGCGAGCTCGAACGCCAATTGGAGTCTGAACGGGCACGACACGCGGAAGATCTTGCCTCGCTGGAGCAAGAGCTGGCGAGACTACGAGATGAAATGGCCGCCCAGTTGCGAGAGTATGCCACTCTCATGGACATCAAGATATCGCTAGACCACGAGATCGCCACGTACCGCACGCTTCTTGAAGGAGAGGAAGACAGGTATGTTTTTTATATTATTTACGGACTCCATATCACAATATCCTTTGATCCAACTAAGTCAAAAACATGTGCTCATGCCCACTTTCCATATATTAATTGACCTGACACATTTTCTCTGTCCTGTCTACTTTTAATTAGTGTTAAGTTAGTTTTTGCTTAAAATTGCTTATCATTTGGGGGCCAGGAAATATGTTAATGATGTTTTAAGGCTACAATCTTGAAACTAATTTAAAAATTATCTATTAAATTCAAATATTTTTTCATAGTTTTTATTCTTAATTGTGGAAATAAAATAAAATTATATCTTATGACAAACAAATATTGTACATACACTCTTTAAAAAAATATTAATTTCCTCACTATTACTTTCCTGGTCATATTTTAAGACTTAGACATTGCATCACTATATGCGTTAGTTAATTATCCGGTCATATTTCGTTATTATTCTTTGATAAAATATACTATTCTCACATCAAATTATATTGTGGAGGGAGAAAAAGTGACAAATTGTATATACTGTCACAGCGGCTCCATGTAAATTCAAGCAACCATTGCTGCATGGCAAAACGTATTTTCAACAAATTACTGACAGACAGATAACAAAGTTACCATTTAATAAACTTAAAACATAGTATTTAACTTATTATTGCATAATATTTATTGTAATGTTAATGTGTGTGCTTTCTTTGGAAAATAATATCATAGTTGTAACCACTTTCTTGTAAATAAACATTTCATTTCGCTGATACTTGAAGGTTAAACCTGACTGCACAATCGCCCGGTCGCGAGTCACGCGCGTCTGTCAGCGGCAGCGGAGGGCGCGGCACCCCTGGCCGTAGGGCTACGCCCCTGCGCGCCGCCCGCAAGCGTACACTGCTCGACGAGAGCGAGGAACGCAGCCTCCACGACTTCAGTGTCACCTCCAGCGCTAAAGGAGACCTCGAGGTCTCTGAGGCATGCCCCGATGGAACATTCGTCAAGATCAGGAATAAAGGCAAGAAGGTATGCCGCTTTAAATCCATTTAAACGAAAATTGAAGTAAACTAACACTTAAGTTTTTTGAAACTGTTCCTATTTTTATATTAATCAGTCTTTTTAGTCTTGGTTTTATCCAATAGATTTTTTTTTTCACATGAGTTTCTCAATCGCTCTGTTATAGTTAGTGAAAATAAAACACGTGATACACTGATAATATATCTTAAAAAACTGCACCACTTACAAAATAAATTAAAAATATAATAAAGTGAAATAAAAAACAGTATTTTTATAATTAAAGAAAAACAAAAATCATTTCTCTGAATAAAACAACATCTAATATTGTATTTCTTAAGATTTATCTCTTGTGGAGTTAGCAATCTATGTTTACCTACCTATCTAACACCCGGTTTCTGAATTGAGAATTTAAAGTTGAGCATGTCTCGAACTGTTACAACAAGTTTTCATTTCTGATTTTAGAATTTTTTTTAGTGATCAGTTGATAGCAGTTTGATAAATACTACGACTTTTTGCTTTATGAAACTTAAAAAAATCCCAAGTTGACATTTTGTACCTTTTTCAATTCAAAAACTGGTGTATCAATTAAAAAATATGTTGTACATTTGATTTTCTTTCTCAGGATTATTTTATAAACTCGCATTTATAACACAGTATAACGTTGTACGTATAAATAATATATATATATTACAATAATTGTTTATTTGCCTTAAACATGGTACAAGGGTGTTAAAGTTGTACAATATCCTCATGTTTCGCCATTTTTAAATAGCGTGCAAATTAACTTCGACTTTAAATATATACATTATCTGTACTTTAATAACGTTTGAAAGTGATCGGTATGTGGTCCTGTACAGGAGATGAGCCTGGGCGGCTATCAGATAGTACGTAAGGCGGGCGACCAGGAGACCGTGTTCAAGTTCCACCGCACCGTTAAGCTCGAGCCGGGCGGCGTCGCGACCGTTTGGTCGGCGGACACTGGCGCGGACCACGACCCGCCGCGGGACATCGTCATGAAGGGACAGAAGTGGTTCGTCGCCGACTCGTTCACCACCACCCTACTCAACAACGATCAGGAGGTACGCTAATAATAATCCGGATTAATCACGTAGCAAAAGTTGCAAATGTTACGGGCCCCGCGAGATAGGGAAACTCGTTTGCGCCAGTAAATTAATTTTTCAAAGTCAGTGTTAAAATAAAATAAGCAAAAATAATGAATTAAGTCATACTTTTAAGTACATACGAGGGTCAAACTGAAAGTTCTTAGAACTGGCCACTTATAAACAATATAATAAAAAAATAATTCTAAAATTTGAAAATATAACTCTTTGCCAATATTACTGAGTATATATTTCATTCATTTGTCATTTGTTTTACGATTTGGCGGCAAATTGAAAATTGTCTGTGTCACGTCATCATGAATTTAACACGAGAAAATTTTCGTGCAATGATTTTTTATGACTTTCGATGTCATTTAAGTCAACAAGAAAGTTATGATAGACTACGATTGGCCTTTCACGATGAAGCCCCATCTCGTGCGACTGTTTACAACTGGTTTAATGAGTTTAAACGTGGTCGCACTAATCTCACTGATGATTTACGTGAGGGACGGCCTTCTACGGCGACGACTGAAGATAACATCTGTGTTGTGCGGCGTATGATAGAGACTGACAAAAGAGTGACCTATCAACAGATTCGGACAAGCTTAGGCATCGGTATGAGTCAAGTGCACAAAATCCTCCACGAACATTTAGCGGTCAGGAAGCTTTGCGCCCGGTGGATACCTCATAATTTGACTGAGGCTCAAAAACTCCATCGTGTGGATTGGTGTCGTAAAATGATTGAAAGATTTAACGGAGGTGACTCAAATGCTGTGTTCGACATACTAACAGGTGACGAAAGCTGGATTTACTGTTATGATCCTAAAACCAAAAGACAATCTGCTCAGTGGGTGTTTCCTTTCGAGGAGTTGCCAACTAAAGTGAAGAGAGATCGAAGTGCGGGAAAAAAAATGGTGGCCTCGTTCTTTGGAAGGATAGGTCATTTTGCAACAATTGTGTTAGAGGATCAAAAAACAGTTTCTGCAGAATGGTACACTACCAATTGTTTGCCACTTGTCTTGGAAAAAGTTCGAGAGAAACGACCTCGCAGTAGGATCCTCCTTCACCACGACAACGCCTCGTCGCACACCGCCAAGCGAACGATCGACTATTTGGCGACATCAAACGTTGAATTACTGGGTCACCCGCCGTATAGCCCCGACCTCGCGCCTTGTGATTTTTATTTATTTCCAAAAATTAAAGAAAAACTTAAAGGAAAGCGGTTTATGAATGCTGAAGAAGCGGTGGCTGCGTATCGCGATGCCATTGAAGAGACCCCTAAGGACGAGTGGGCAAAGTGCTTTTCCCAGTGGTTCCATCGCATGCAGCGGTGTATTGACGTGAATGGACAATATTTTGAAAAGATATAATAAAACTAATAACTGGCTAATGTAATCAGTTTTTGATTTTCTAAGAACTTTCAGTTTGACCCTCGTATACATAAACTGACAAATGAAGCTCGAGTCACAGATTGATTGTGTTGTGATATTCGGAAAGCTAAGGGCGACTTTTCTGTTGGGGGGGGATAGATTTTGTAATGGGCCTCGCTCTGGCTTCGGCACTGATAATAATAACCATTTATTTCCTCTACACTTCTGCTTTTATCAGCAAATCAGATCGAAGGGGCAGCAGTCTGATAGAGTTAGCGATCGCTATTATTATTTGTTGCATGCACCGAATGAAACTGTTAAATTATCATTAGTTTCCTAGCGATCGAGTTTGTCAGGTCAATCAGTGAACTCTGCGATCTGAGACTGCTCTGCCTAAATTGACTTCCAGGAAACTATCTGGCAAGCTAAAGTATCGTATCTTGCCCGGTAGTTAGCCACTTCGTTGAGTACTAGCAGAATGTAAGCAACAGTTTCAGCTGCATCCTTTGCACAGAGGGCTGTCAGTGACACGTAGATTGAAAAAGTGTTAAAGTTGCCAGTAATAGCGTGTTAAATCGGGGTAGTGCTAATTTGTCCTGCCTGCAGGTTTCCAAAGTGGGCCAGTTCTCTCCACTTTCTCTACATACAAAATAATATAATTTCAGTTAGTTACGAACATAGTTATCCCAATTGAGTTTCTGATGTGAGACTGTGATACCTGTGGCGAATTTACTTAAAAGTCAATAGGCTCTGGCCTAGGCGGCCAGATATTGGGCGCCTATAATAGCATAAAATATTGTGTGCCAAAAGCTGAATGGTGAAATACTGAGTATAGGTAATTCTACCTTAATTTCTTTATTCAAGAAAATTTTTTAAACATATACGCTGAACTGAGGTAAAAATGGGAACAAAACAGCTGTAATTTCATGTACATTTTGAAGTACATATTTTCATGGGATGTCAACCATAATGACTCAGATCTTTATTGTGTCAGATGAAACATACGTATAATCCTATTATAGGTATATACCCACACTATTGTAATAACAAAATTATAAACGCTGTTTAGTTACACATAGCTATGTTCTTGTCATTCTAATTTGACTTTTATTTCAAGTGAAAAAGACAAAACACTGTCTAAATGTATAACGCTTACACAATATTTATTAGTAAGGCTAATAAAATAAACTATAAGTTTATATGTATATGTGCTGTGTATAGTACTTTATACACTTGAAATATAAAATCAGTAAATATTAATATAATAAATGTAAGTAATACAGTTGCAATCTCTTTCTTATTATCAGGAGGTGGCGGTGTCAGAGAGACAGCGGCGGCAAGTGAGCACGAGCGCGCAGCGGCATCGGGAACTCGCGCACAAGTATCCCCGCCGCGAACAGGTAATAAACTCGATACAAAAAAAAATATTAAAATATAAAAAATATGTTTTGTATGAGAATAAACTTCATCATCATCATCATCACCAGCCCTTTTACGTCCCCACTGCAGTGGCTCAGGCCTTCCTTAAGGATGGTTAAGGAGGATGGGCCATGACCCTACACGCTAGCCCAATGCGGATTGGAGGGTATTAACGACTGCAAATGCAGCCGGGATCGACGGCTTAACGTGCCTACCGAAGTACGGAGTGGCTCGAGATTATAATTTTTTGATCACCCATCCCGTAACCGACCCGTGTGAAAGTTGCTTAACGACTGCGATCGCGGGCCGCGGCGCTTATCCACTACCCCACCGAGCAATAGACTTACGCCAGAATATGAATTGAGAAAAGTACAAAATCTCAAATAATTATTTTCGATAATTTAAGTTTTTTACTTTTCACAAGGCAAAAGGCCTAGTTTTTATCAAATTTCAATCAACTGATTATTAAAAAACTGAAATCGGAAACGAAAACCTGTTGTTACCTATAATCTAACTTTAAGTGACGTTTAAATATAGTTTGAGCTCAATCTCTATCCTGAAACAGGGTCACAGATAGAGATTTATACTATGTACGATACGTACGTCGAACGTACTAAGTGCATACCAAACATACTTTTTGGATATTGTGGTGTGAAAGTGGTCGAAAATATATTTCATGTTATCTGTTACAGTTGGGAGAGATTCGGGAAGGCGAAGAGAACTGTCGCATAATGTAACGTGCGTCCAACGCTTCCCAGGAGCTATTCACCGTGCCCTATGGGCAACTTTTATCAATTCTCGAATATCTTTAAAATGTCAGATGCAAATTCTATAAGCGGCCCTCCGCTTTTATACGTTAAATAGATTTTTGTGTTCAAATATTATTTATAGATAAGATTTCTAATAACGATTTGACTTGATTTGTGTACGGTAACGCCTTCATTGGTACACGGCAAAGTTTATATTGTCACACTGACATTAAGCACATGTGCGTAGTTCCGACTACACAAAGAATAAAAAGCACAAGTAATCCAGTTGAACTAAGAAGTATATTATAACTCATTGTGAACAAAGTACAAACAATCACGTTCACATTATTGTGGGTAAGTATAGATTTATGAATGTTTTATTATTTTCAATCCCCACCCTCACAATGCACTAGTTAATAAGTAATTTTATCCGTTATTATTAATCAGTATCCATCTGACATAAAGTAGATGAGATCTACTAATTATGATCGTACATAACATCATCTTAGTGACACGACTAGAAAGATCATGTATTAGGTTAAGAATGATTTGACATTAATTGAGTCAAATATTAGAATAAGTTTCAGTTTTCATTGTACTTTTGTAATTGAGATAAAACAGGTGCAAGTCTCAAATAAAAGGCTCTCATAGTTTAAAAAAAAATACTTATAAACAGCTATTTGTGTAATGATGGTAAATAATGTATTCTTTATTTAAAATATTATTCCCATTTATTTAGCAATCTTTTGGGCTTTTGATTGAAAGAGGTTAAAATCTGATTCATTTTAATTTATGTTTTGGTTTGTGAGAAATCATGAGACCTTTTTAATTTGGACAAAGTTTATTATCTTCCATGTGCAAAATAACTTTTATCGCAAAATAAAATTATATTTAGGTTTAATATAGTATTTTATTTGGATATCCTAGACCTTGTATACCGAATACGTTACAAAACCGCTCGCAAAAGCCTAAAGGTCGCAACAGACGGAAAGATGCTATAATATTATAAATGTTTTCATAAAATGAAATATAGCATTTTAACCATCTGTTACGAGCCTAATAGATCTTGTACTTGTCCAAGTCCTGTCTCTATTATAAGCCTACGACATATACTGTAGAAGTCAAAGATGTCTAATCTATATCAACCATCGCAAAACTAAACTACTTGTCGATTTTCCAACTAGGCATTACGAAAAGACTCGCCCATATCGGGAAACGCCATAATAAGACCCCTACTACTAGGACTTACCTCGTTTATATTTGAGCATGAATTTGAGAATCTTATGTATGTCACAAAACTGAGTAAATAGTGGCAAACAGTGATATATAGTTAATAATTAGAGTGGGTCGGCTAACTTGACACACGTTTCTTTAACTTAAGCCACAGATATACATAACTATCCTAAGCGTAGTTTATCATAAATCATTATTCAAAAAAGTTAAAAATAATACCTATCTTAAAGTGCACACTTGTATTTCAGATTTTATATGTGTTCTTTTTATTTTATATTTTTAGATTCATATTAACATTATTCAATAAAATTTAACACAACTTTACAAACTTCTCGTCATTAAACAGCAATCATCACATATATTGTCCTTATTTATCCGTACATTGCGAAAATGACCCAGCTTTTTAGTTCATACCAGTTAATTTCTTTGTCCATTGTCCAATCCAAAATCAAATTCGTACCGCTTATTCAAATAAATCAAACATTAGTCCTGCAGATTTTAGCTGAAAAATATCTATGGGTTGTTTCATTACCCAACCAACCCACAGAGGTGGCATCGATTTTGGTATGTAAAATTTTAAATCGACGTGAGGTCAACAGTATCATAATTAACTTACATTTTTTGACAACTATTTTTGCTTGGTAACAAACGCCGTGCGGTAGTGATGTGTACAGTATATTATATATACAGTATTATATGTACAGTATAATCACAACGAACAATTCATTCAAAATTTGAAGCCATAACTTTAGATTATGCAATCATCACTAGAATACTATTAAGTGAAATAAATTACATATTCGCTAAAATTCTATTAAGTGAAATAAATTACATATTCGCTAAAATTCTATTAAGTGACATAAATTACATATTCGCTAGGTGCACAATGGTAGCGCCAACAAGCAGTAACAATTTTGTCGGACATTGAAATGTCAAATGGTTGGCATTTAGTACGAATAGTAAGTAAACAAACAATAATTTTATTGAAATAGTGTAATTTACTGAAATTTTATTCGATTATGTAAACCTAAGGTGTTAATACTGTTGATCTTTTTTATTTTCAGTCTAAAATGCCACAAACAGTAAATTTCAGGTACACAAGTTTTTTTATGGCTGACTTTACGGAAAATAAATAAACAAATATAATCTAATAACGCATTTCATACATATTGCAGATGATCAACCTCAAACGACTATAAAAGCAAAGCAACATGTACAAAATGTACAAGAAATTAAAAGTGGAGATCATATGAGCCACACCATTGAAGCTCATGTAATTCAACAAACTTCAGTGACATCAACACCGTATAAGACTTCCTTATATATTGATTCTAGTTGTTATATTACAAGTGTAAAATGTGATTGTGTGTACAATAAGAGTGGCAGATGTAAACACATTGCAGCTCTAATATACATTAATACATTAACCACAATGAAAGCTTCTCCAAAACCAGTGATGAGCAGCAATGGGGCAGACCTAGTGCCAGACAGTTTGCCAAAGAAAAGTATGCAAAAGAAAATACTTTGAAGAAATGTATCCACTGGCAAAGAAAATTAAGAGTGATCCTTTGCCCTTAGATATTTTGGAATTAAAGGGACAGTCAGCGTTAAAACTAATAATGGAAGCTAGTTGATCTAAATACAGTAAAATATTTATTCTCCGTGTTGGTTGCTTGTTGCTCATAAGTCTTTTCAATAGTATTACATCCTTGATGTTTTGTCTTCTTGTTATATTTGATAATCTTCAAATTGCTTTTTATTTCAGTTTGAACTTCAGAGTCACATATGTCTTTGGCAGTATATATATATATCTATTACAAATAAATGTATTCCCTTCATTTTCAACAACCGAAAATATGTCAACTTGGCATTCTTTATCAATTTTTGTACTATCAATATTTTCCATTATTTCAAATGTATTTCTTTCGTAAGGAATATTGAGTACATTTGATGTAATTTTTTCTTTCTTCCAACTGCGTTCCATTCGTCGTTTGTATCTTGACATGGCTGAGTTTTCATTCACTCTTGTAGAGGTATATATGGCGGGAAATATTTTTGGGACGTAGCTAGGACTATCTTGTTCATCGGCTTTTTTGCCTCCAATAAAGTGAGCACTGCATATCATGTCATGAGGCTTTGGATACCATGGCGATCCATCGGCACTGAAATTAAATATAACGAATTAATTATACTCATAGCAACTTGACCACTGTAAAGAGCTATTTTCTGTACACACATACAACATTTAATATTAATTTATTGTTTTTTAGGTAAACTTACTTTTTTCTCTTGACAGCGATTATCCACTTCATTCGTTGTTCTTGTTTCCAACTCACTCGAGGAAATCTATAAAAATTTTTATCACTATTTTTGCCATTGTTCTTGCAGCCAACTACACAGCAAGTATCGTGACGCATTTTATTATTTTTTGCTTAAAATGCACAAATATGTTAATTTCTTAAGTAAAAAGTGACATTTCGTCCGACAGAGTTTCCATTTTATGGAATTAAACATCCCAATAGGAAACATGTGTTGACTAGATACCTTTGCTTTTAATTAAAAAAACAAATACAAATGACGGATGAATGGCAGATGTCAGTGACAAAATTTGACCGATTAATCGATTTATAACTGATTGTAATTGGTTCTTTTTAAATCAATGAAAAAGAATTTAAAAAATAAGCTCTCTCGCTACTTTATGTAGAAAAGAATATTTTTAACGAATATTGACTTACCAAAAAATATAGTAAATTCTTAAATGAAGAAACACGAAAAAGGAATATCGTATAGTTATTTAATTTAAAATTATTGCTTTTTTATCAATGAGGAAGTATTAAAAAAAAACGAAAGCGCTAAAGAAGCACCTTCACTAGATGGCGACTCTAGCAAAAGTTGATATTTACAGGAAACGAATGGACCGAAGATTGTCATTTCCGTTCCTGAAAAACTGAAATTTGAAAAGTTTAAGACTTAGATATCAATGCAAATACGATAAAGTACAATTAGCCCTTAAACTGATAGCGTACTACATATAGTACACTGAATTCGTAAAAATCTAGAGCTTTATTTATTAGAACTATTTTAAAATTGATTAATCTATTAGCTTCTAAAACTATAAATTTTGGTAGAAAGTAATTTATACTATAGCATCATTTACGACGGACCGACGATCTGGGGTAAAGGTCGCGGGAAACCGCTGGATGCGGGAGGCGCAGGACCGATCGCTTTGGAAATCTTTGGGGGAGGCCTATGCCCAGCAGTGGGCGTCTCTCGGCTGAAGTGATGATGATGATGATGATTCATTTACGACCAACTGTCAAAGTCAAAAATGACTTCGAAACGGCCGGGTGTGTCTGTGAAGCGGGTAAGTTATTTTTGTATTTTTTTATGTTTTTGTATGGAAACTGTGGTTATTCTGCTTTACATTGCATGGGAATAGTATAAATATATTCTTACTTCAGTTTTAGACGTATATATTACATACATTTGACCTTATGGGCTCGTGCGCGTGAACGTACTACGTGAATTCCGTTGCCAAATAAGGTGTAAAGAATACTAAATTGACTATATTATACACGAAGTACATTGCCAATTACCTATACAAATGTTTTTCCTTTTTTCATACTGCGTTACAGTTATTGGGTGTAGTTTTTTTGTTTATATGGCATGCCCTTTTTTTCTTTGCCTGCAGTCCTTATCTTTAACATGACCGCACAAGATTCTGGCTTTGTACAGAAGATAGTTTCAGTTCCGACGATGAAGCAAACCATATTGCATTACCTCTCTCAAACGTTAGTTCTGATCTACCTTCATTAGACTCCTCATTCGAACGACTAAATATTTTAGCTGACGATTCTAATAACGCATCTAACCATAACCTCGAACACATACTGTTAACACCTACATTTCAAGAGATCTTTCCATCCCCTTCAGTGGATAATTACAATGCCATTAGATTCTATTCAATCCCTGCCTTTACCATCAGTAGAAGTTCTTGAATCCCCGATTCCCAGCGCATCAAAAGCCACGTTACACATACCATCACTAGAAGCCCTTCAGTCACCGGTACCCAGCACGTCGATAGCCACCACAGAACATAGAGAGAGAATAGAAGTAGTAAGTGGGCGGGGCACGCGTCGCTGGCATATGCGCTTTTACTCATATGACGCCCTTTCCTCGGTTTTATGTTTGCCAGTCGTTCGTCAATCGTCGAGTGGTGATTTTACAGATTTTTTCTATAAAAAATGCCGTTTTGTGCTATTATCACTTGCAAAAAGCAAAGCAAAGTATACAATCTAACTAATGCAAACATTTCCTTTCACTGGTAAGTACAATTTTAGTGCTAAAATATAAAAAACGTAATAATTTGACACAATGTTAAATAAAATATACATTGATTGCTCAAACCAACATCAATGTTTCTGACCCCATTACTAAACAGCAATGTAAATCATTTTGTGCACTTTTGCAAAAAATAGTGCTGTGCCTCCATTTGTCTGAAATGTACCGATAGGCTGCTGCTGCTCGGAATCGTATTGTTAATTATATAGATCGTAATCGATAACTAAAACATATTTATTTAGAGCTTTTCTTTCATCATTTCATAACAACGTTATCGATAAATATATGCCATAATTATATAAAACTAAAAAATACTGTTTACAAGGGAAAATTATAGATGAACTGATACTGAACAAATGAAATAATGAACTGTCCAGGCACTTTTTTTACGAAGATTCGGTTAATTATTTACACGCAGATAAATATTAAAAATTACTGATGTGCTATAAATATCTAAGTTACGAAGTATATCACCGTTTTATGAACAATACATAAATTAAACGAAACTTCGTGAAAAGCTAAGAGTTGGCCTAATAGGTCTTGTTAGAAACTGGTGAAACTGGATTTCACTTATTTTGCATTACTTATATTTCAGTTTCCCTAATAACTTTACAACGGATTGCCTTGTTTACATAATTAATTTTGGCCCTATCTGTTTTAGACCTAAACCTATCAAATGAATTTCAAAACAACATAATATCTATACAAACAAAAAATTATGTTTTCAACTAACGTAATATTGTTGGTGGTGTGAATTTAATTTACAAAATTAATTTTTAGGCGTCAATTTAATTTACCTTATTATGCTGATTCATAATCGGAAACTATTATTATAGAAATCGAGTTAAGAAAGCCACTTTAAAGAACCGCCCACAGAACAGCTTTTATCAGTTTTTTTGTTGCTCCATATTTGCACATAAGTTTATAGACGCATGTCTCAAACGGATGTGACTTTATATGTAGATTGACGTTTGTACGTACTTATCGCTTTTGTGTCTATCTTCAAACTTTTTTGTCACGGCTTTCAAACTCATACTTGACCAGCAATTCCTTATTGTCCAGTCGTTGCAATTAATAATGTAGCTACTACTATTATTACAGATATAAAACTTAGAATAATAAAGTAAAACAAACATGGCTATGATCAATTTATTAGTGTAATGATCATATTAGTTATTATGAAATGAAATGAAAATATCTTTATTCAAGAAGGCTATTACAAGCACTTGGAATGGCAAGTTTATTTTTATTTCTACTTTTTTGTGAAGGAATCGTAATGTTTTCTTGCGTACATAATATTTTCATTGATGTCAAAATATTTATTTCTTTAAATATTTCTCTGAGAGATTCTCTAGACCGTAAATTATATATAGCGTGGACAGTGGACTCTTTTGTAGAATAAAAATATCTTGAATGCTAGCCGCAGAACCCCATAACAATAGATTATAACGTCATTCATTACACTATGAAAATAACTAAAATATACCAATCTTGCCGTTTCAACATTTGTTAAGAGTCTAATTTTCTTAACAGCAAATGCTGCAGAACTCAGTCTACTTGACAAATTATCAATATACCATAATTACCAAGGAACTTTGTCGATTCCACCATCTCAACTTTTTCACTATTTACATTTATAAGTATATTAACAAGCCTCACATTAGGTAATGCAAACTTTATGTATTTCGTTTTTATTTGAATAAAGCTTTAAATAATTTACTATCAAACCACTGTAGAAAATTGACGAACTGAATTACATTGAACTGTTTCATAACAAAATTTAAAGCTCTTATTTTATCAACTAATATGTCACATCACTAATATGCACAATCGGAATGATACCAGTAAGAAAAAAATACAAATTAGGCTTAATGTAATTAATACAAAAATTCTGTTGTTTTCTTAATTTTTGTTTTTTTTTACACTTTCCCTCGCTTAATTATATTACTCCACAGACATACGATAGAGTGTATCATTAAGTTTTCTTAGTTTTTGTACTGCGTTTTTTAAAAGATATTTTAATAAATTATGTAGGGAAAAGCCTTAATTTTTCAGTATTCACTTGGTTACAGCAAAATCTAATATTAATAGTTCGCACATAAAATGATGACCCCAATTTTTTTAAATGTGCATAATCTTAAAATATTTTTTTCCTTCTGGTATCCCCATATACAGCCACGTGACAGTTCAACATTCATGTTAAAGTAAATTATTTATTATCACGTTGAATTAGAGTTTGTTTTTAATCGTGTGATTTCTTAGCTTAGTATCTTTTTGGGATTTGATTTATGTTATCGCGAACCTATCGCGTGGCGGTTTTTCATGTAGTGAACAAAATGATCATTTCATCTAATCTGTATTTGTGTGCGGAGAGGCGATACTCGGTTCCCATGCTAAATTAATATCATTATACTTCTAATCTCTCTCTATGTTCTGTGATAGCCACTAATGTACCAATCACTAGGTCTAAACGAAAATAAAAATCTGTTTCAGCAAAAACAGTAAAAAAGCCTAAGCTTGCACTAAATTTCAACTGGAAGAAAGCTTCCTTGCGTTGCAGAACATTTATAGACGACAACGCGCATGAACTCCATAAATCGCCATATAATACATTATTAGATTACTTTTACTCGTTTTTTTCATCCGAAATTATCGAAGATATCGTTCACAATACTAAAGAGTTTTCTCGCAATCAAAATCCTGATGGGTATAATTCGAATGCCAGTGTGGCGATGTTACTGCGATGAATTAGATGTCGCTATGTATCAGTCGCCACAGTATGGTGCATATTGGTGCACTGAGCTTGAAGTTGGTGACGCCATCAATAAGTTTTCTATTTTTGAGGTCGACGATACGTAGTATTGACATATCACAGTCATACCACGATATCCTAGCGGAATTTCCCGGCACAACGCGGATAACGTCGATGCATCTCAACCCGAAAGTCAACGTGCACCATTACATCGAAACAACCGGCCCACCTATTCATTGCCGTGCGCGTCCAATACCTCCACATCGTTATCAGGCAGTGAAGAAAGAATTCGAGAACATGATGCAGGAAGGCTTATGCAGACCTAGCAAAAGTCCATGGGCATCCCCTCTTCACATCGTGCCAAAGAAAAACGGTGACATTCGAGTGTGTGGAGATTACCGCCGACTT